CAGATGTTTTCTTTGTGGACTAACAACCCAAAGAAAAAACCTTGAAAACTTGTCTTATAGTTCCATATGATCTATTTTCCTCGTCCTCTTACTTTCATTTGTAACTGATGAACCTGTAGAACAACTAACTTCCTAGTTCCGTGTCCATAGTCACAAGTTATTTGTAAAGGACGATTCTCGGTTTGGAGAACAGTCTCCTGGGCTAATAATTTTTTCATGAAAAATACAGAAATATTACCCAAATTAAACTATGAATATTCAAAAGAGGACATTTAAATCTACAAGATGTAAAAATAACAAATTGGTCTGAAGCAGGGATAACGCTCAATTTGACCGATTCAATAAAATAGAAGTCTCGATTTGGGGAACGAAGTTCATCAGTGTACTGCGCTAATATTTTTTTGCGAAAAATCTAGAAATATTACCCAAATTAAATAATGAGTATTCAAAAGAAGACATTATAATCTATATTATATAAAAAAATCAAATTTGTCCGAAGCAGGGATAATGCTCATTTAGATTGATGAACTTTGTTCTCCAAACCGAGAATCGTCCTTTATTGCGATTCTAAAATTTCCGACTTTACAGAAGGAAAATGGCGGAATAATTGAGGAATATCCGGGATGTGTGCTGGGGTGCACAGTGTAATATGCTCAAGAAATTCCCGGGAAGTTGGCCATAGATAGATTCAATGGTGGATGTTAGCACATAGTGGCAATATTAGTGTAAGTAGTAAAGGTTTGCGTAGTAAAATCTAAAATTAATACATTCAAAACCTGTCTTAGTGAACACCTTTCTTTAGTGAACACCGGTCTCTAGTGGACACCCTTCCTCCGCACATACTCTACTGACTCATGTGTAATGTATAGATTACCCTCTCTGTAGTGAACACCTACCCACACTGAACATTTTTTTCTTGACAAAAAATGTTCAATATACACAGGTTTTACTGTATTTTACTCTAGTTAATGGTTCATTTTTCAAGAATCTAGAAAATCATCTTTAAAAGTTTTAATCTCATAATTATACTTAGGAGAATTTGAATAATTGGTTAAAGGTAGTATCCAAAATTTTATTCGATTTCATTTGCAGTTTTAATAAAATATGCAATTTATACTTTGGATACAACCTTTAATTATAATGCCATCAACAACTAGAATTCATAATGATTAAATAAATTTTACAGGGTGGTCAAAAAAATGGAAACCCTGGATTTTCCTCATATCTTCGTCATTTTGAGTAATTATTTCCTGAAATTTGACACACATGTACAACATTCAATTTCCTACCAGCTAACCATAATTCATGATCTTCAGATTGATAGTCACAATGGTACAGCACTTTGAACAAGATGACCCAGTGTGGCCACCATCGCACTATTTGCAAATCTGAACAGGTTGTCAATGATCTGACTACATTTTTCAGCAGGTATGGCCTGAATGACACGGATTATCTGCTTTTTGAGGTCTGCAGTTGTCCTGGGGTTATTCTCGTACACTGTTTTTTGGTGTATCACCACAGGTTGAAGTTAGGTAGGGACATTTTGGATGATATGTGCAGGTTTGCCGAAAGTGCAATATTGGCCAATGGAGCATGTTGTTTAAAGTGCTGTAACATTGTGACTATCAATTTGATGGTCATGAAATATGGTAGGCCGGTAAGAAATTGAATGATGTACAAATGTGCTAAATATCAGGGAGTAATTTCCTAAAATGACAAAGATATAAGGAAAATGGCGACAGGGTTTCCATTTTTTGACCACCCTGTGTATATAAAATTTCACCAAAGGAAACATGCTCCAGATTTGTAAGCTGGATAATGTTTCAGATATTTCACTGTATATTGGTTTCATATGTTGTCTACTTTATAGTTGATGATTACACAATTCAGAACAGAACCACCAATTTAAATCGTATTTATATCAACTGGTATACAGGTATACCACGTTATCAGATGGATGGCATTTTGTTACACTTTACAAACAAGGCACAGACGTGAACAATATCGTACCTAAAACACAGCATTGTGGTCTTGTTGACCAAGAAAGCAAGATGGCCGCAGAAAAGTTAATCAGCTCTAGAACTTATCACTGTGTAACATATGTAAAAATTTGAACGGTTTGGCTGGAAACCTGTAGACAAGTCTTGAAAGTGAAGATTTTAGGACGGAAAATCCAAAATGGCCACCTTAAAATTTACCCAGAATGCCCAAAAACCAATCAGTTCTTGACGTTGATATGTAGAAACATCCCTGAAAATTTCAGATGAATCCCTCAAATGGTTTGGCTGAAAATCTATAGACAAGTCTTGAAAGTGAAGATTTTAGGACAGAAAATCCAAAATGGCCACCTTAAAATTTAACCTGAATGCCCAAAAAAACTAATCAGTTCTTGACGTTGATATGTAGAAACATCCCTGAAAATTTCAGATGAATCCCTCAAAAGGTTTGGCTGGAAACCTGTAGACAAGTCTTGAAAGTAAAGATTTTAGGACGGAAAATCCAAAATGGCCACCTTAAAATTTACCCAGAATGCCCAAAAACTAATCAGTTCTTGACGTTGATATGTAGAAACATTCCTGAAAATTTCAGATGAATCCCTCAAATGGTTTGGCTGAAAACCTGTACACAAGTCTTGAAAGTGAAGATTTTAGGACGGAAAATCCAAAATGGCCACCTTAAAATTTACCCAGAATGCCCAAAAACTAATCAGTTCTTGACGTTGATATGTAGAAACATCCCTGAAAATTTCAGATGAATCCCTCAAATGGTTTGGCTGGAAACCTGTAGACAAGTCTTGAAAGTGAAGATTTTAGGACGGAAAATCCAAAATGGCCACTTTAAGATTTACCCAGAATGCCCAAAAACTAATCAGTTCTTGACGTTGATATGTAGAAACATCACTGAAAATTTCAGATGAATCCCTCAAATGGTTTGGCTGGAAACCTGTAGACAAGCTAAAAAGTGAAACGCCGCCCGCCCGCCAAGCTGACTACAATATCGTACCTTTTGTTAGGTACGATAAAAATGAACCAAACTGTTCTGAAAGTGTCAAATATTCCAAATCAATTGCTGCTAAACTCAACCAATTTACATAATTGATGTGTATATCACATCATTTCATATTGTTGTTTTGGTTACATTAAACATTCTGTAATATTGAATTTTTTTAAGTAAAATGTTCACAATTTAGACTCTAAAGAAGTATTGAACCTTGCGTTTTACATCTGGCCAATTCTATAGCCAATGGAAATGCATGGAACGACCAAATTTTACATATTTTTAATTTCAAAATTTAGACTACCCAACGAACTTTTTGATAATAATTCAAAATTCAAATCAAAACTTGGAAGTTTCACAGCATTTTGAAGCTTTTGGCAAGATGAATGTATTTTATATTTTAACACTATTCAATTTCCTTAAAGCACCATTACACACTAGACACTTATTGGTAGACCTAGTGTTATCAAAATTTAACTCATTATCATTTTCATTTTGTAATTGTACAACTGATACACATTTTGATATATTCTTTTGCCCCAATTCAATCATCAAATCCCTTGATTCCAACAATCCTTTGCCCATGAAGACTAATTAAACTCTATCTGTCTATAGGGCCAGGCCCGTAGCCAGGGGGGGTTCGCAGGGTTCGGGCGAACCCCCCCCTGGCCAAAAATTCTTTCAAAATCATGCAGTTTTTGACCATTTTGAGCACTTCTCAAGTGATTTTAGCCTAATTTGGGCCAAAATTGTCAAATGTGAACCCCCCCTGGAAATTTTTGAAAATTGAACCCCCCCTTGGCAAATCCTGGCTACGGGCCTGAGGGCTGTCCACTGGGAATCAGCCATTGATGGTAAAAAAGTTCATAAGTTTGAAATCACCATTGCTGGTTGACTACAAGTTCAAAATCAGCCATTGCTGGTTGACAATTTACAAGTTTAAAATCACCCATTGCTGGTTGACAATTTCACAAGTTTAAAATCAGCCACTGCTGGTAAACAATTTCACAAGTTTAAAATCAGCCATTGCTGGTTGACAATTTTACAAGTTTGGTCTTAATGTAAAAAGGATGATGGTAATTTTGAAAGTTGTAAGTAAGGACTGTATCAATTCATGACTTGATTTATGTATACAGAGGTAGCCTAATAAGGTAAAGTACTTAAATATATGAAACACACCCAACAGTTGTGACTGTAACATAACTAATTTGTGTATAGTCTAAAACTAGTTTTGCTAGAATAATACCGTCCTTCCTCTTATCTACCATTTCTTCTTTTCAGGCTCCCTTATCTCACCTCTACCCTTATGTCACTCCTCCCCCTTATCTCAAATTTCTCCCCTTATCTATTCCCTCCCCTTTATCCAATCCTTATCTATCCCCTCCCCTTATCTCAACATTCCATTACCTCCCCTGCCTCCTTTCAGACCCCTCCTCCTTATCTCAACCTTCCCTCCCTTCACCAATCCCCCTTATCTCCCATCCTCCCCATTATCTCAACTTCAAATACACCAAGAAAGTAGTAGCAGAAAGGGGAAGTCCAGAGACTACAAACTACTCTTATACTTCCTGATTAAATATTTTTATTGAAAATTCAATAGATTAATTTCCCTTTACTGTTACTCTGACAACAACAAAACAACAACCAGGATTGCAGTACAAGTTAATGATTTTTAATTCATTGGTTTATAGTCATGGTTTTACTATCACAGTTTCTACACCAAATTGTCATTGAATAGAAATAAATTAACACTAATCATAATTATAACATCAAACATTTTAAGCTTGATTGGCAAGGACTCCATATTTGGTATGTTATTAAAATTCTTAGGTTGGATAAGGCATTATCCTTTTTAGGTAATTCATGATTAAATGCCATTCATGCATAACAGTTGTTCCCTATGCATAACAACTGTTAATTGTCACCCATGCATAACAAGTGGCACCTATGCATAAAAACTGTCACCCATGTATAACAAGTATCACATATGCATAACAACTGTTAATTGTCACCCATGTACAACAATTGTCACCTATGTATAATATTTGTTGTCCATGTATGACAAATGTCACCCATGCAAAACAATGGTCACCCATGTATAACAATTGTCACCTATGTATAACAAGTATCATCTTTGCACAACAATTGCCACCAAAGGTATGATAAATGTCACCCATGTACAAAAAGTGTCATCCATGCATGACAACTGCCACCATGGCAAGGATTATTTTTCAGAAATACATATGTAATAACAATGTAGCCTTATTTTGTCTTTCAAACTGTAACATTGAAATTGGTAAAATACATAAATATAATTCTTGCTTGGTGAAATACAGGGTGGGCCCAAACATATTACTTTTATTACATTCTTGTAAGTTCAGAATGGGATACATTTTGCTCACCCTGTATATTTTAAATTATATAATTCTTGTCTGGTGATTTTAATTAATTAATGGGCAGGACATAAAAATATTGTCCCAAAAATTGTGTGCAAGAAAGTTGTGTTAAAAAGGTTGCAAGTCTAGCAGTTATAAATACATTAACATAAATGCAAATTTAAACATTTTGTAGTGAAATCTACCCCACATAGTATACATATATGAACTCTCAATTAAAAGTCTAATATGATAATTGACAAAAATACATGTTTTAATTAACATGGGCAGCCTATATGTTTCTAGAAACCCAATTTCTCACTACCAATATCTATCATACACAGTAATTTAAAAATATTTTGAATGTGTCATTTACTTACATTAGCATTCAATTCAACCAATATAAATTGAATATCACTATGGGAGCTGGTAACATATGGTAAATAAATACCGTCTTTGCTTGGCTAGTATTTTCATACACAAACTACCAAATCATTCAAAAGTAAATATTTTTATGTACATTTTTACAATGTTAAATACATTATTAATTCTTAACTATAAACTATTACTACAACACCAACATGTTTCAGTATCTAATGTAAATTGATAATAAATATATGTAGCTAATTTACTTACTAAACATGTACAGTAGTGTATGTAGTGCATTATTTAATCAATAATATACAATTTTTCATAAAATTCAAAATCCACATGGATAGTGAAAATCCGTGATAAATTTCTTTAACATAAAGCTTGTGATTCTTTTTATAATTGAACACATATGGTGTAATGTTATAATTGGCACCCCTCCAAGTTTCCAGCAAGTTCCAGCAAGAGAAATTAGTGAACTATTAAAACAGTAAAACAACTGAGATAAATTTCTTACATGTTTCACTGCTGTTTTAATTGTGATCACGATTGTATTGGTTTTAAGAATTGGTTAATGATAATGAAAATCCGTGGCAAATTTTACCTAAGTGAAAATTCTCCATGATAAAGATTCTCCATAATACCGTCTTCATACTGCAGAAATGGAAAACTGGGACGATTGAATAGAGGTCGGGGTTATTTCCTCATATTGACATTTAACATAGGAATTTTTGTTCAGCTTACAAACAACAAGAAATATCTCATTACAACAATGGACAAAGGGTTCACTCAAACATCCGCCAATAAATTAAATATATTATGCAAGCAATCTATTCGATTTGACATAATTCAAGATCTTGTAGTCTAGTGAGCCATCTGGTATTTTCCACATAATCCAGCTCATATTTGTATCCCTGCTACCAAGGACAATGCCCTTGACACTGTTTTCATTATATGTGCTGCCATAGCAACATAGCACACCACTGTTGCTCACTTTATAAGACGCAGGATAACACTATTGCTTATTATAAGACCTCCCACTGCATGACAGCCATATCTTTACCTCCTACAGAGAGGAGACGGGAGTCATCGTAGAGGAATCGTACAGCTGTTACGTGACTGCTGTGTCCTCCATAAATGTGGCAAGCAGACTGAAATTGTATGATAATAGAAATGAAATAATTATTTTTGATGCCTTTTTTCATTAGTGACATAGGATAGTCGGTAAACTAATATATTGATGATGCATGGAACTGCTTTTCTTTAAAATACTGAGAGATAAAAATTAATGTCCCTTAATTCAAAATTCATAAAAAAATAAAAAGGCACCATTTGGTGGGTTTAACTGGTAGTTGATGGACTTAAGAACAGATATACAGAAGGATTGATAGACAAACAGTCCATTCCATATGAGCCAAAAATAGGTTTTGTCAAAAAATATAGATATTTCAATCCAACCCTTGCAGAACAACTTTTCCAAAAGAAGGTTATCATCCCATGTTTCTCGTATATTTTGCCACTCACCTTAGTCTGGCATGCTGGGTAACGGAATAATTTCACTTTGCCAAAATCATCAGCGCTTGCAAGTAAATGATGTTTGTTTGATCTTGCACAACCATTGACGTCAGTTCCATCAGCGCCCTCTGGCCAGATTCCACATACAGAGAATCCCAACGTGCAATACTGTGTCGCCCATTCTACATTGGCCATTGTTGTTGGCGATGTGATGTGACGGCATGTCCCAGCATTCCCTAAAAACATTTTTGAAAGACCAATTCCGTGACATGAATCTTTTAGATTGATGTGAATACACAAGTAAGTAGCTCATATATTTTAGGTGACATTTTAGTATAATATTTTAGTCATAACTTTCAACAAAAATTCCTTATAATTAGTCATAACTTACAGTATAATATCTCATAGTCCCCTGAGTTACTCTGTAAGTATTGACTATCACTGGACCAATCAATGTGAGTCACAAAACTGGAGTGACCCTACAAGCAAACAAATAATTGACAATAAAAAGTACAACACAATAAAACTAAGTCAGTCAAGAATGTTCATGGTGTCAATTTCAGAGTTCATGAACATCTTAATTAACAGTACAAATTGGTACATTATTGGTTAACAATTTTTTTGAAATGAGGAATATTATATTTGAAAATGATTTATTGTAATAATTTAATAAGGATATAATTTGAGACAAAAACTAAACTTTATCATTTCAGTTTATACATTAAAACATTTTAAAATTTTGAACTATTCCTCATTAATACTTCAAGCTCTTTTGAGACAATGATAGCCCAATATCATAACATTGGACTGGCAAGCATAAATAAATAGAATATTGGATTGATTGGCATGCCATACTATTTATACATTCACTTCAAAGTGAAAAATACTATATCACAATAATTGAATTAATGTCCATACCTGACATTTGCCTATGCGTGAATATTTCTTTCCATCATCGGAGACTTGGTAGACATATATAATGTTATCTCTAGAGGCCACTGCCAGGTGCCCTCCATCTAGAACAAGGAGAATAAATTAGAATGTTATGAATAATTTGTTACAGATGAGTCTTAATCCAAAACATTGCTTGCCTGAATTTTTTTTATTTTATTTTTCTACTAACTTTCATCTTTGATTAATTCTTTATTAGTTCACGACCGAATTCATATTTTCAGGGGATACATCAAATGAAAGCTTCTTTGACAGTGTTCAAAACAATGTTTGAAAATGAGCTAGTAGTCCTAATAAGGTTTAAACAGTGAGTTAGATCCCCATGGTTTGTTTTTATATCATAACTTCAATGCCATGAAAATCACTGTCTACTTTTTGAGGAACAAAGACTTGAAACCTAATCGCAAGTTATGACGGTTCCAAAAATGCAAAACCCACCCCTGTATCCTAACATACCTTTGGAGTATTCAAGACATTCTATTTGTTCATTGCCATCCGTGTGCACAGTAACGATGTCACGACTTGTAAGATCAAGCACAATCCAGCGGCCATATTGGGTTCCTATAGCAACCAGTTGACCATTTGGATGGAAACATGCGGAGTGGGCACCATCCTTGAAAAGACCAAAATAAAATGAGTAAAAAAAAATTGTAATTGTTTATAAGTTGCAGCAAAAGTCAATGACATTGCCAATCACTTTTGGCATCTTTCTTGAAAAGACTGGTGACTAATGGGATTGATTGCCAGCCTGTCGATTTGGCAACTTTGTTTAGAACCTTAGAATGGATCCATACTCAATTGTTGTATATGTTGAGCACTATCTCATCTTGATATTTTAAAAACAAACAATAAAATAATACAAATTATTTAGAGTCAGAAAATATCAATTTGAGTAAACTACCCCAATGGTTGGACTGTCATTCATTAAACTTATATTGAATTCATTGAAAATCTTCATTTTGTAAGCTATATACAGAAATCCTTATTCTATAAAACTTACAGTAAGTCTCTAGAATTTAGATATTCAAAACATTATTGAAGTCAAAATTTTTTCAAAAAAATCCTCTGACCCACTGACTACATGATAACTGTACCTCAGTAATTGGAACATGTTTTAAAAGAACTGGTATTACATTCTACTTCAATTTTGACTTTATCTAAAACTTACATTGAGTTCTTTGTTCCAAACAGCAGTGTGAGTAAGAGCATCCCACAGATACACAGTTTTGTCATAGGAACAGGTCAAGAATTGGTGCTGGTTTGGATGCACTGCCAGACCCCATAGTTCATCCATATGCCCCTGAAACACACAAATGCATGGATTGTTAAAGCGAATCCCCCAAAAGCAAATATAAACATAAAATTTCACGTGAAAAATGTTGCCATTGTGTCAACACTGACTACCGATAGAGAAGTTTCCATATAGCTTTAAAATCTTGCTAATTCTAGGTTCTTCATGAGTTTGAAGAGATTTACACTTTTGACCTCTAACGACTAACTTTTCATTTTTTAATAGCATATCTAAATTCAGTGAAAAGAAACTTTTATTTATACATTTATGTCATTTAATCATTTTTCATGACTTTAAAAAAAATGTCCATTGATACAATGATAAGATTCTTTAAAACCTTGCTTGGTCTATTCGTTTGACAATCAAAAAATCTATGATTAATCACAATAAGTACATTGACAGGGTCATCCCATATTATGCCATTTAGGTTTCAGCCAGATTCAATCAACACTGTTTCATGAATCATTAAATTAAAGGGACACTGCATATTTTCAGCATTTTTTGGCAAAATGAAGTCTTACTTTTAATCTTCATAGTATTTCCAATGTATTGATAAGTACTTGATCTTTCATTTGACACCATAAACAGCTTAAACAGACCACACCAGAGTTTGCATAAATTATAAAATTATTATATGTCAAGTTTTTAGCTTTGCCACTGTAAGATGGCTAAGTTGTTTGGATCACATGATCCATTCATTTTTGATAGAATTTCAACCATACGCCATCTTTTAATTCAAGAGTAATTCATAACATACACTTTGTGAAACATGGGCCTGCAGCATTATGGATCTCTTAACTTCAAATGCTGTTTTCAATGTAAATACTTTTTTCTCAGTTCAGTATTATCCCAAATTAAGATTTGTATCTAACACAAAATCCTCTGCTTCCTATACTATACATTTTTTTTCATAGCACTATATTATATTGGTTATTATATAATCAAATATAATTCAAATTGTTTTAAAAACTCTATCTTGTGAATGACCTTTGTTGACAGTTGGGCTTCTATGACAATGGACCGCATACACTTACTGGAATTTTTTTAACAAGTTTATTGAATGACTGGCACAAACAGGGACCCATCTGACTATTTGAACTGAGATGTTACATTACAAATAAAAACCTATAGGATTGCCGCCATTTTGAATGGAAAGAACATGCCCATTCACCTAACATGAAACTAGAGCATGTCAGACAGACACAACATACCAGACTGGTGGAGATGTACTATGGCAAACAATGGGGAATATCTGCATGGAAACAAATCTGACATCAAAAGAAGCACAGGTTGTATGTAGCACTATGGGGCTACCATCAACATATGCCCAGTTCAACAATAATACAACTTCTAATGCTAATGTTTGGACTGTATTCTTCATGATTTAGTATAATGGTGAGGAAAGTGCAGTGAAAGACTGTATGGTTCTACAACAAAACCAATGCCCAAAAGACGCCATTTAAACAATTAAAAGAAAAAAGATATCTTTGTGAATAAGGTGCATATATAGGGGTTATGCACTGGGAGGTTTTGGATACAGGGAATATTCCGAGGGATATACAATATATCTTCCCGAGGGACCGAAGGGACCGAGGGAAGATGTATTGTATATCCCAAGGGATATTTCATGTATCCAAACCGACCGTGCATAACTGGTGTATCTCATACTTGAGTGGGTCAAACCTGGATGTTACAAGAAAAGAAGAAATTTTACTGAATAGAACAAGATGTGATTTCATTTTTACTGGTCATCTTTTTCAACATAATTTTCAAGGTATTGACAGTCCCAAATGCATCTGTGGTTTTAAACAACAAACTACAAAGCATCTAATCTTCAAATGCCCTCTGTTGAATGTTATAAGAGAGAAACTTTGGGGGGAACTCAGGAACATGCCAGAAATGAACATTTTCTTTACAGGATGCTCTATAGAGCAAAAGCTGAATATCTTAATGTATGGCAGAGATGGAGTTAGCATAACATGCAATTCTTCAATATTGAAGCATTTTACATCCTTTTTGTGTGAATGCATTGATATAATTATATAGTTTTAACACATTCCTGCCATGCATACATACATGTTGGTAGTCATTTTGTTGCTATTTTGTAAATTTGAATAAACTTTGTATTAACAGGGCCAATAATGCTGATTTCAGCCTCGGCCCTGTCATTTGTAGATAATTTTGTAAAGTAAAATAAAGAAACCATAAAAACTAACTATACTTGAGTGGGTTTAGGGTAGATATAACCTTTTCCACCTTTTTCAAATGACAAGATATTTATATTTAACATTTTCGTAATATTCTTTTTGTTCAATACAATGAAATTGTAACATTTAAACTTAAAAAAATTAAATTTTAAAATTAAAAAATTAAAACTTTTGATATTTAAACTTTTTTAAACTTTTGAAAAATTCCCGGGAGCGGGATGGATATATTATATCTGCCCGCATTTGGCCTGGAGCGGGATATATACAATATATCCTGCCCGCTCCTCAGATACGATATATATTCCCGGGTGATATCTACCCCAAACCCACTCAAGTATGAGATACAATAACCCTATGTATCTACAAAGATATAATTGTGTTGTGTCTTTTTTATCAATAGTTACTTGATGATAACAAGAAAGTTCAAACATGCTCCCTACAGCTGATTATTGAACTGCTTGCACGCAGTCGACTAATGATCTTACAAAGCAACCAAATTGTCCATAGATAAGGGAAAACAAATATTCATAAAGGAGCACGTGGGTTATCGCAAACAATTTCAGAAGGTTATAGCTTGGATTATGAGTATTTTCTGACAATGAAGACAAGTTTATCTTTTAGATCAATTCATTATCTCAAAGAAAATTATGCACAGTAATAATAAATTCAAACAAACTCTGAGATATTTAACTAGCAATTAACCCATCAACACACTTTTTGACCCCATTTTGAAGATGTTGACCCCATTTTCACCAAAAATGCAATCATTTTTTAAAATGTTTAATGCATTTCTATTCTTTATTTTGATGTATCAAATAGATCTTGAAAGAAAAACTTAATTGCATTAAGATAAGTGTTCCACATGTTATTTCTCCATTGAAAAATCTCATGCTATCCATTGGTTTCAGTTCATTTTGGTCATCCAAATTGAATACCTTTAAAGTCCCTGGAGCAATCAAATTTTCCTTTTAGGAAATTGAACATGTCCCAAAGCACATTCTAATTCTGCATTCAACAATATAATAATAGGCTGCATTTTTGGTGAAAATTAGGTCAACATTTTTGAAAAAGTATGTTGATTGGTCCATTGCCCCTTCAATATCACTTAGGTCTGATTAACTAAATTATCATTATATATACTTTTCTTGAAGATAATGAATGGATCTAAACGATACACCCATGTTCATGATCAGAAAATATTCATAATTCAAGTTAGAATTGTTTGAAATTGTTTGCGATAACCTACGTGCTCCTTTGAACATTGTTTTATAAGCAACGAAGTGATATCCTACTACAGGTAGAATCTTGCCTACAATTGTTGAAAATCCATAACACCCTTGGTATACTAAGCTAACGAAAATTGACCGATACGGGTCAAAAGCTGGACCGGTACGGGTTAACGGTTTTATTTGAATTTAAAACAGCCATAACTTGCTCAATATTGACTTCCTCGTGTCTAATTTGAAATATATGATGCCTCCCGATGCTTTTAACTACCCCAATTTTTTACAGATTTTTAAACGGACCAAAACTCTCTAAATGCGCATTTATGCTCTTTTCTCTCGAGAACGACTGTCTCATTTTCACGATAACTTTTATTTAGTACTTCTAACATATAAGGTCTATTTTTCCCCATCAAGGTATGATGTAAATGACATGCTATTAACATCTTGTGAGTTTCAATGACGCGCGTTTGATTTTATAAAAAATGCCAAACTTTGTAACAAAGAATTTCATCAGCTATTGCCCCGAACTGGTCCGTCTTCTCGCTGCAAGCAGATTGCCCCGAACCGGTCCGTCTTCTCGCTGCAAGCAGGATGAAATTCTTTGTCACAAAGTTTGGCATTTTTTATAAAATCAAAGGCGCGTCATTGAAACTCACAAGATGTAAATAGCATGTCATTTACATCATACCTTGATGGGGAAACATAGATCTTATATGTTAGAAGTACTAAATAAAAGTTATCGTGAAAATGAGACAGTCGTTCTCGAGAGAAAAGAGCATAAATGCGCATTTAGAGAGTTTTGGTCCGTTTAATAATCTGTAAAAAATTGGGGTACTTAAAAGCATCGGGAGGCATCATATATTTCAAATTAGACACGAGGAAGTCAATATTGAGCAAGTTATGGCTATTTTAAATTCAAATAAAACCGTTAACCCGTACCGGTCCAGCTTTTGACCCGTACCGGTCAATTTTCGTTAGCTGCGTATACCAAGGGTGCATAATAAGAGAAAAAAATGAACAGTTGAAACATTAATTTGAAGAAAAAATCAGTTGCACACTTAAATTCAAGGTTTTTGAATTGCCTTGCAATCAATTTGTTATACCATCGGGCCTTTGTTCAGTGGGATTATAAGCGGTGGATCATGTCCACTAGTAAACCTAACAGCTGATTCTACAGATATTACTGGTAGATGTTGAGCCAGACAGATATATGTTAAAAACCATTGATCTGTTTGATTGGTGATTCATGTGTCATGTAGACTTGCGATTTATTGTTGGACACTTCAAATAAAACAGTAATACAGTATGTGTATTTCATATCTGTAGTTCTATATTTATTCTAAAGACAGTAATAATCTCTAAAAATACAATATTAATTGATTGACGGAAGTGGCAACATTTTAAAGTTATATCCCTGATAGAACAACATCTCCCAAGCAACCCATTCAGGTGATGAGGGTACACATTTTGCTTCCTCTTGAAGTTCGTCAATGTTATATGGACTTCTTGTTACTCCATCTTTAGGTCCTTTGATGTAGAATAGACTCAAATCTATATCTGTATCTACATCAATCTTGTACTTTTTCCATAACTGAAAATGCAATAAGATTTACTATTTAAGTTTGTTCCCATAAAAAGAAAATAACAAGACAAAAGAAAAGTATATAGCATTCTAAAATGTTCATATTAATAGAATAATAAATAATGAAAATTCAACAGCTCATATGGTAAGTGCTTCCAATAACAGTAAATTCATTTAAGAAATTTGTATAAGTGATGACCAAGAATATTCATCCCATTGCATTGCAATTCACTTACCCAAAGCATTTGTTTAATGACCTTTTTCACGTTGGTGATCATATTTGTTACTACATTTGGAAATCTTGAATGGACTAATCTGTAGTTAAATTCTTTTGCATAACGGGCGGCAAGAACAGCCTTTAAGCCAGCAAGACGTAAAGATTGGTTAGGCATTCCTTTGAAATATTTCCTTCTTGCTTCTTGGATTATGATACTCCAGCCAATGGCTCTTTTCTGTAGTGATTTCATTTCTGCATACAGTGTCTTATACGAGCCATTCTTTAGACAACCACAATAATCATCCCTTATTTCAATACGAAGATCGAGCAAAGATCTGAAAATACTTTCATCATACTGTTTGAAACTTGTTGGTATATCGAAGTCGTGAAAAATGTCATTCATATCAACTTTCAAGTTGTAAGCAATTTGACCAGCCTCGCCCTCAAGTTTCTGTCGCTTATCAGATTGATACCATACAGCATAATCAGCAGCAAGAGCAAGGCTAAAAAGTATTGATTTAATTGATCCGCTACTGTTAGAAATCAATGTCCAAATTTTACCCATGTTTATTTCATAGATATCGTGATCATTTTCAAAATCTTCCCATACATCTTTCTGAGAGACGAGATACCCATATGTGGCATTGATCACCTCCATCAAGTGCTCATAGATCTCCCCACCTGGAGATATCAGAGTCTTGATAACTTGGTCAGGTTCAGTATCACCCAGTAGAGCTGTAGTGCCAGCATTATCTCCAAGTGTCACTCCAAACACAAGGGCACCTGTGCAACAAATCAGCACATATAAGCATGGAATGAGCTGTACATAAAATCATCATGTTCTAGAACAATAACATCTCTACAAGACCCAAGGTCTAAATATGTAGTCCATGCATCTCGATTCACAGTACACAAATGTAAATATATTGTTATCACAGGCAAATCAGTTTATATTATAAAGCCAATGACCTTATCATTAAATTCAATTTCTACATCAAAAGTAAAATTGTGCAACATAATATAATTCAATTAGGAATAAAAAAAATTTGCTATAACTCCAAACAGTTTCTTTATCAAACACACTGTAATTGTATGTTGGTTGCTAATGGCTGTCGCTGTTCCGGGTGACTTAATTTTTTGCACTATGTCATAATCTTCTCTTAAATTCATTTCATGTTTTATTCCAATTAAGCTTTGTTTTTTTGCCAAAAACTATCATATCACAAATTCATCTGTGACGGAGACAGTCAAACAAAAACTAATAATTCTTTGTTGTGGTTTATAGCAAATAATCTTGTTCCAAATGAAATAGACATTACTTCATTGATGCTTAAGTACACTAGAAAATTACTTACCAAATATAAGAGGATATTTTTCATTCATAATCATTTCAATATCTTAATGTGGAAACTTCTCTAAAACAAAATTATTGCCGTCATCTAATGTTAGGTAGAGAATAGAGGTATTCTATGGAAGTCATATATATATACATATATTCATGAGAGAGAAGGTTACCACAATAATTTTCTGACCTCCTGTGCATGATGGCATGATTAACACATCAATATGATAAAACCACAATTCATGTTGTTTCAACCCGAGTGTGATAGGGCATCACTATATACTACAAGACCAGCTAAATCACAAAGGTAGCAGTATCACCATTAGGTTATTGGTGTGGAACACCCTTATAAGGTTATTGGTGTAGAACACCCTTATTAGGTTCTTGGTGTGGAACACCCTTACTTTTTGAGATATTTTTTCATTAACACCACAGAAGCACAAATAATACAAAACCTAAGTAGGCTTATCAGATTTTTTGCTCAGGCTCTTTTTTAATTTTAATTCAGCATGATATCATGATTTCAGCACACACAAAACATGTTCAAAACCACACATGATGCCATGATGAACTTTAAAACCACAATTCATGTTTTGCTATAAAGAAGCGTGATACGGTATTGCTATTGAAAACAGTACAAACTTGATTTCTGCATTTATTTTAATTTTGTCAACGATACCACATTAAATGTTAAAATGTAGGGGGCAATGTATAGTGAACCTCTAAACAGCCGAATGGTTTCCTGCCAATCTAGATTAAGCTTTGACACTAGTAAAGATATTCAATCCTTCGGATGTTTGATGTTGAATCGAGTGAAATCGACATCTGTAATTACTTCAATTCCATACTTCTTCCACAACTACAAAGGTAAAAATGGAAATAATTGTAGATAAACAAAAATGTAAATGGAAAAGAAAATGTAATAAAAACAGAAGGGCCAACATTTGAAGAAAGTAAAAAGCTACTTACTTGACGCATTGGTCTGAAAACCTTACTAACTGAAGTGATTGTTTTTGTAACAAGACTTGGTAATCTAGAATGAACCAATCTATAGTTGAATGCTCTTGCATTACGGGCAGCAATAACAGATTTTTTTTCAGCAATGCGTAAACCTTTTCTTATCTTTCTAGGCCCTATTTTTCTTGCTTCTTGAATTGTGTTACTCCAACGAATGCTTCTTTTCTCAAGATCTTCCATTTCCTTAAACAGTCCTTTATAAGAAGAACTATGCACACATCCACAGTAACTAGTAGCTTCTTTCTTTAGTTCACGTAATGCATCAAAGTCCTCATCAACAGAAAAACTACCTGGTAAAGAAAACCTTTCAAGAGCTTTACTTAAAATTCCATCCTTAAGAAATCTTGCAATTTCCGATGCCTTTTTGTGAAGATTTTCTTTTTTATTGTCTATTGCCATTCTAGCAGATTGCAAATCATGGAAAAGCTTACTAAGTGTTGCTTTAACTAACACATTACGTTTGAGTATGATCTCCATAATTCCATCCATATCTTTATTCACTAGAGTTAAATCATAATCGAATGCATCCCATATTTCTTTATTGAGGAGAACGTAGCCATACGTAGTGTTGACCATCTCCATAAAGAGCTGGTATATATCTCCACCTGGTGATATCAGACTCTTCACAGTTTGGTCAGCTTCAGCATCACCTAGTATAGGCATTAATGTATATGCATCATCTCCAGCTGATACTCCTACCATAAGCACTAGAAGACCTGTTATTGAATATAAAATAAAGCTCTTATCAGGGCTAATTTCAATTGTTCCTATATAGAAATGGGCAAATTACATTAAAGTTAAATGAACCTATTGCATAAACATTTAAAGGAACATATTATCCATATATGGTTTACAATGGCACACACACTGAAGGATTTTTTCTGGGTATTATTTCCACTTAATCATACTTGGCAACTTATCTTAGATGAAATGCTATGCCCAGAATAAAGTGAAAATAATGTTTGTAACAGTTATGAACACTGATTGTTCTTGATGAGCTAAAGATTACTTACCAGTAAGGAGGGAGCATCGGCCATCCATATTGTTTTAGGTTTTCTTCAAAAGTCTGTTTACTGAATTAATATTGTTTTTCTAATATCAGGTATAAATTGAAAGTCACACATTTTTCTTTAAATGATGAGAGTACAATAATCATAAAACCTCATGTTCAAATAACATGTTATTATTTACTGAGGTCATTCATATTGTACAATTAAACAAAAGTTCAAACTGAAACAACAAACTAAGCATGTATTGCTTTGTTGGAGTATTATCTTTGTGCGTAAAATGGGAAAAGTATGTTTTTATAGTTTATTCAACTAAAATATCACTATCTCTGATAAACTTATTAACATTGTATCAACTTCTCTTTGAATAATGTAAAAGGGACAGAATCCTGAACATTACACTATTTAACAAGCAATCAATTTTCGGGTACCATTTACTACACTATCCCTTCCAAATTATACCCTTTCCACTTACTTTATCATGATAATTCAATATTGTAGCTAGGACAATTCTATGGCATAGTTTAAAGTATATGTAAAAAGCTTGCTTATTACAATGCAATGGATCCCTACTACCAGGTGATATGGAACTGAAGCAAGTTAATGAATAACCTGGGGTTGGGCTTATCTAGCCAAACAACATTAGATGTAGCCAAACAACACTATCTCTGTTAAAGTAATACTGTAAACAAAGTTACTCAGTGGGCATGAAAAATTGGGCTGCTATTGTGATGATTCCCTAGTTAGACGTATAGCCCCTGAAAGACCCCCTATAAGGATCTTACTAGATTTGGCAAAGCTTTCAGCCTGATGGCTTGTCAATACAGACCCCTTGATAGATTATCAGTGCCCCATGATGTCAAACATTGTTCATGTGGGAGGCTTAACAATTCAACCTACCAAACCACTCCCAAGTCAGTTTGATAAATTTATATCACAGTCCAGTGGATTTATCATTGTGTCATTTGGATCAATCGTAAACTCAATTCAGGATGAGATTGCTGAGAAAATGATGAAAGCATTTGGGAGCATTAAGTATGGTATTATCTGGAAATATCCTGGAGTTAACAAAATGCCACTCCCTTACAATGTAATGATAGAAAAATGGCTTCCACAAAATGATCTTCTAGCAAACCCAAAAGCAAAACTTTTTATCACTCACTGTGGCAATAATGGTCAATTTGAAGCATTGCAGCATGGGATACCTATGCTAGGCATGCCCTTTTTTGGAGATCAGAACTATAACAGCATGAGAATGCAGTATAAAGGATATGGTATCCACATGGATGCACTTCACTTTACATCAGATGAACTCAAAAACAACATTAACAAAATCATAAGCAATCCTGACTATACAAAGAGGATTAAAAAAGCATCTAGGATTTTTAAATCCCAGGAAAATCCTCGCAAACGTGCTGTAGCTGCAATAAAACATGTTGTGGATTTTGGCTCGGACCACTTGAGGCCAATCACAGTAGACATGCCTCTATGGAAGCTATGGATGCTTGACATTTTTGTTTCATTAATGTTTGGAATACTTTTGATATTATTTATAGCTAAATTAGTACTTGGCTTTCTCTTAAGAAGACTGTGCAAATTCTGCTTTCAGATTGAAAAACCGAAGGAAGATTAATTATATTCCCACATAAGTGTCACTAGACACATATAATTTTCAATTAAATCAGACGAATGATTGATGTTGCAATTCTGAAAATATGATGTCCACCCTATCAAGGTCATGCAACCTACATATGCAATTACCCAGATGCAAGCAGGTAGATACCAGTTTCACCACCAGGTGGCTGATTCGGGTTAATTAACATGGCAGGTATATAAGAAAGTTCCCAATTGAATATTATCAGTTTAAGTGGACCAATTTACATATAATCCTTATGTGTCTTACAGTTATAACAAACGAAAATATATCCAGTAAAGGAAAATATTATCTGCCCAACACAAGAAAAGATATTTCACTTTTTGAGAGTTTGTAACATGGGGCCTATGGGGAATTTCCCCAATCTAGAAGTCACACTTTCAAAATTGGTAAATACTTTTTTAAACCACATTTTTAGATGCAATTTTACATGTAGACTTCAAATATGACATCCTTTCAACTAAAATGTGAATATTTAATGAAGTATATCAAGATTATTTCTACTCGCATCTGGTATATTTTTTACGCAAATAAAACAAATAAATAAATACAATGCACAGTGCCTTATTGTTAAAAAAATATATACAGTGTTATTTTAAAAATGTATGTAGTATCTTACTTTTTCAAGCAAAATACTATAACCTTTAACAGGTAATATTTGCTCATCATTTCTTTGCTGACATCAAAAAATTGTCAGGGCATTAAACAAACAATGAGTTGGCTAAATTTAGAATCTCATTTCTTTCAGTATCTCACACAAAAAATAACAACCTTTGTACACAATATTAGTTGGTTCATACCTATTTAACTTCTTTTCTCTGAATACGAACATGCATCTGATTTGCAGACATCTTTTATATAAGTTAGAGTGGCTATTTCCTCTATTTTATGTCTTAATGATTCTAATCTTCCAACTCTCATATGTATTCAGACCATTATAATAATGTCATTTTATGCTGGGGATATCTACTCGAAATGGGACAAGTGGTACATCTGTACATAGTCTAGAATCATAGAAATTGCTATGTCATGTTACAACTACACATACTGCATATGTCTTCTACATAGAACACTATGATTATAGCTGGGAGGAAACAAAATATGGCAAGCATGAATTCCTGGTAAATATCTGTAAATTAATTCTCTTGAAACATTTGAAGCTGCAAATTGAACTAAAGATTTTAAATAAGATCGAAACAAGGAACCTTTTAGTTATTAATATTAGAATAACAGCTTTCTGAAATTTACCTTAAAATAATTGTGGGTGTCTCCATAATCTCCAAGACCTACATTTCGAAATGACGCATTACATGGAGGGGTATTCAGAAATGATGAGGTTTAGAAGAGTTATGAAAATTTTCTTATGCAAAATATGAATTGGTTATTTTGTAAACAAATGAAAGTTACACTATATGCACTGTTACAGGATGTGGCTGGGGTTGGTGTTATTTTTGGGTCTGATCCCCTGGGTGTCAGGCATGAAGGTTCTTCTCATCCCTGCCCCAGCTGGGGGAAGCCATCTCTCCTATTTCACTGCAGTGGGAGAGGAACTTCTTGCCCAGGGACATGAGGTTAGTAGACATTTTAAAACATTTGTGATGATACATTATACATTTTTTACCATAAATGGATTCTTTTTCTCTACAGTAAATAGAACTCTTTCAACTGTAAGATATGTATTGCTCTATTTCAACCATATTTAAGTAGTTTTTCTCAATTATTAAATGTTCAAAGTCCATTAGTTCACAAACAGATATGAGAAGTAATAGTTTGTGAGAAGTTATATCAATTATATCATTCCACTGCATATATAACTTTATTGACTTCAATCAATGAGTAACAGTGACACCATGTCGAGCTTAGAATGTGTGTAATATGTTCATATTTTTCACTTACCGATAATCTCCCTAACATATACATGATCTCATCTTATGTATTTTATTTTAAGATAAGACAAAAAGTATATCTAGACCTAATCTAGCATCCACTGGTGAAATGTAACAAGGCTTTAACATGCAAAAAAGTCACCTCTTGCCACTTGTTACAGACACCAAATGCCAGAAGCCAGACCCAAACTGCCATCAAAAAATTGAGAACATAACAATATGTCACCACTTGTGGTTGTGACATAGTAAAAAAAAGAAGAGTTGTTATTTCAAATGATTAAACATTAACTATATTATTTTACAGGTTGGGTTAATTGCAGAACCATACTTAACCCATTACCACCCAACTACGGATATATCCGTAGTTTTGACGTCACATGCTTACCACCCAACTACGGATATATCCGTAGTCGCTGAATATTTCATCAAAATTTTGGAAAAATCCTAATATCCGGGCCGAACGTGGCTCATTTGAAATGAAATTTCGTCAAACGATAGGCATAATATCCTTTGAAATAAATGAGTAAGAAATATCAATTTCCTGATTATATAATTACTTTCCGATGCGATATTTGACGGTCTGTCAACTTTTTGAAACTTTTTAGAAACTTAAAAACAAATGTATGGCGCGTCATGACAAAGTGGGCGTGCCGGAAATAAATTAGTTAGAATTCTTTTCCAAATAGCTTCAATACTATTGGAGATTGTTTCTTCATAATAACAGCATATACTTATCACAAGTCTACCTTGACATATAAAAGCTAAACTCATCGATAGTATGCAAAACGTACAACTTTGACCTAATTTGTTTCGGAGTTTAAATTTCGCGCCAAAATAAAAAACACGAAACAAAAATTTAATTATAAATTTCTTTCCTAAATGTCAGTTCAAGATATTCGCTACCAACGTTTACCTTATGTTATTCATTAAATATTTATCATGCTGCATTTTGTGAAGATACTGCGTACACCTATATTTATGCTGTTGAACGCAGGGGCGTAGGAAGGTGTAAATTCAACACTACGCCAAAAATCCCGCCAAAAAATATGAAACAATTGTGTCAATATTCTATATCAAAACGCCTATATTATGCTCGTAAAACGTCATTTTATGGTAACAGAGATTTCAAGCTTGCAATATTCACAACCTAAATGTGAACGGAAATACTTAAGCGATGCATTTGTATGGGCGATTGGTCATACGTATAGGTTGGCGTTTCGATTTCATATGCAAGCTTTAAATCCCCGATACCTTTTTAATGTGTTTTAAAATGTTCGAATGATTTTCATCATTTAAAATCGCCTTGGAAAGCCTATCTTTTAAATCTCGACACAAATCATTCTCACTTTGCTAATATCTCGAACGATTGAGACGACCAATTTCCAAAAAACAATTAGAGATTTTTTAATCATTTTCGAATAATTGAATTAAGATCTGAAGATATATAGTATTGTCGGATTCCATCGTGTACCGTGCAATACAATACGTACAGATTAAAGAAACTAGTTTGATCAATTGATATAAAGAAACGCATTCGTGATCAATGAAACAAATAAACACACCCACCACAAAGGTCAAATCGAGGTCAACGTGACTTAGGGGATGCCAAAAAATGTTATAAAACAAGAATCTATTATTTGTCAAATGAAAAAAAACTAGGTTATCGCTTTTCTAGAACTGAAATCAATGGAACGTGTAATTGAATAATCAGCATTTTCAAGTTGTTTTTGTCTTTAACATCCATATTTCAAAAAGTACTACCAATAACAATTAGTGATTTAGTAAGAAAATAGATAATTGTTGACTTAACTATAATTTCGTGTCTATGATTTTGCATAGCAACGGAATATAAATCGATAGTGAAATTGAAAAATTGGGGTAGGGGAGAATAAAAAAAATATACATCTAAATTTAAAGAGGTTCATTATTATAATTATATGATACCATAGTTAGCATAAGCATTACGGAAAATTCAGAAAAAATGTCAAAGGTATTCATCAACTAGTTTTTGAAAAAAAAACAGCTTTCCTCTCAAATTCGTGAAGAGAACGCGATTCACGAATATTTGGCGAAATTGTATTTATAAGACAGTCAATAGTGGCTCGATTTTCATGAAATAAAGCATGTTGGTAAGGGAATTCAATCTGTTAAATGATATTTGCCAGACAGACCAATAATGATATGGTTTCCACAAAACATTTCTTTAGGCTAGTGTGCTCGAGATTACTTTTACAATTTAAACAATGATAAAATAATGACTAAAGAACATAGGAAAGTTAAAAAGTCTTTTTATTCTCACTTTTCAACACTACGCACTGGCGTTTTGGCGTACATTGTTCCTACGCCACTGGAACGGGAATCATTTTGGACTGTGTTTGTGTTAATTTCCGGTTTGAAATTTTGGAAGACGAAATAGTTTCACTTTAGGATACTTTTACAATTATGTGCAATAGAGCCAGATCAAGTGTGATAAAATCAATGAATTTACATTATCTAGTCAAAACAGTCAATTTTCCTCCTCAATAAATGACAGTCAATTAACTTGTTCATCTGAAGACGATGAAGAGTGGGAAGATTTTGATCGGATTGGTGAAGAATATCCATTTACAGGAGGTCCATCTTGACCAAAGAACATTACAAATGGAGAACTTTTACAACCCGTGGAACTTTACAAACTATTTTTTTTACTGACTCATTGTTGACTTATATTGTACTTTGTACAAACTTGCATGGACAACAAAATCATAAAAGCTGGTAACCTCTGGATCGTGACACATTGTCAGCCTTCGTTGGTATACTATTTGCCATGGATGTATTAGAAAAGAAAGGCAGCATCTCCGATTATTGGGAAGAAAACAGATTGGTTTCCACTCCAGGTATATCTGAGGTTATGTCAAAAACCTCTTTATGGCCATACATGTATATGGACAAATTCATTTCTCCCACCCCAATGCTGTTGATGATAGTAATGACAAATTTTACAAGGTGCGCACGTGGTCTTACAGTCTATGTTCTGACATGGAAAGACGAGCGTAATATATCTAGATACTGACATCAAAGATTACTAAGCGATGTAACATGGTGCCATCATTCACAAGGTAGGCAATATAAAAAATAACTGCACATAAGCCCTGCACTGAATAAATGTATACTACAGCACATATTTCATTTCTGGTTTGATATAAGCATCCTAAATTTGAATTAAATTAAATTTGATTACAGTATGCTACCATTCATCTTAGTAAAAGAGAGAATCAGATCTAGCAAGCAGCCTAACAAAAAATTATTTCAATTTTAGAATATTTATGGTTTATGTCCTTTCGTGTCACATCTATTTTCTAAAAATCCCCGAAGTTTGCATTACACTTGTTCGCAGGAAAACTAAAGATTTTTACAATCATGTATTATGTTTCTATAAGAATGGTTATCATTTTTATTATTTAGGAGAATTTAATCATTTTTCACACATTTTTGCACTTTGAATCCATTATAACTTCACCAATTTATAACATATTGTGAATCATTTGGAAGATATTGTATTTGAGATTGTAAGGAATAGATTGGTAGGTCAATTGTACATTTTGCTTGTAATTTTGTTACCCTCACATATCTGATTCTGCCTTAAAGTCTTTTTGGTGTTTATTTTTCTACTGTTTACAATTTTATCCTAGGAGAAGAGGAAGGAGGGTCGAGGGAGAAGTTAGTAAACCTGAGCTTGTGCAACTCTACACCAAGTTTATGAGAGGAGTAGATGTAGCGAACCAGCGTGTTGTTACTTCAAAATAGGACATGGTATCGACAAGTGTTTTTCCATTTGATGAGGATGTCTCTTGTAAATGCACACATCATTCATACTGAGGTAATAAATATTAACAATATTAAAGGTAGAGCTACAGTGGCGGATCCAGGATCCCAGAATATTTTGGACTCAGCAATTGTGTAAGACCTCAAAAATGGACCTTTTTGGCATGATATGGCATTTTAGGCCTTTTTAGGCTTTTTCAAAAATGGGCCTTACATTTTAAAAATTTGGGCCCAATTTTTTGTTTTAGGGGCCCCAAAATTTTTCTGCATCCCCTTGAGCTTCTGGAAATGCCACTGAGCTGAAATGTAGATAAAAAAGTAGCTGTTTTGTTATAGAGAACTTATACAACTTACAACTCATTCAACCTAAAACCCCTACTTCTACCCTACAGTGATCTATTAGCTGAATATTGCCAGTTTTAATACATGGCTTACACAAGACTTGACTAATTCTTATTTTAATGGTGTATTGGTGATCTATTGATGATGTGTTAGTGGTATATTAGATCTCTTTTTTACTAGGGCAATTCATTCCTTTCAACATGCATTATGGTAATTGATTCAATTGTATGTACTAAACATTTTGTAGAATAACAATGTTACCTCATTTAGAATGTACACCAAAGTAAAAAAAAGTGTGACTACACCTGATTCAAAATGTCTTCACACGATTTTCTTATTTTATCAAAGCTTCACACGGTAGCCTCAATGCCACAGAGGAAATTCCACTTGGAAGTAGCCACTGGACTCATCAATGGCATGATGATGAACAATCACAAACGCGTCATCCTGAATCCTGATATTAGACATGAAAGGGAGATGGCTCATGCCCCACAGCTGCAAAGTACAGCATCATGGTGCACTGTACACAAACAGAAGTGTGACACAAAGTATTCTTGCAGGGTGTGTAAAGTCAGGATGTGTCAAGATCCTTGCTTTTTCAGGTATGTTTTTATGGTAAATGTTTTCACTTTTACTCATTGATAAAAATATATAATTTCTCTCAACATATTTTTATGAACCAATTCACCTACAATTTGAAATGCCCCATTTGAGTACAACTTCTGCTCAAAAGTAAATTTTCAAAATAGCCACCAGTTTCAAAATGGCCGCCATTTTAGTGTCAATTTTACAGTTTTTTAGGTAGAACATATTAAAATGTAAAATTGTAAATGAAAAAAAAACATGATTAAAAACCAATATGTCATCACTTCTTGGTGTTGACATCAAAAAAATTATATGAACATTTATTTCATCCATCTGTCATGTCTGTTGTCACACTGTTCAATATTTATATGTATCTCAGGCTCTTTATGTTTCAGGTATCACAATATAGTCAACTATGAATAGGCAGGCAAGCCAAATAAGAGAAAGTTAAAGAGGATTTGTGAAAACTAGGCTGAAAATAAGAGACTGCACATGTACCAATAAGTCAATTTAAGTCAATGAATGAAAGAAACTTCGTCAGGTGAATTGGTAAGGCAAGAATAGTGCAATTGATTTGTCAAATTGAGTAAGCCTCCAAACTAAAATACAGTGCCTCATTCGTATGGAGAGTGAGTGAAAGGCATGGTTTGATGAAATGAAATGCAAAGGTCTGTAGAATTCTCATTTATCATACTATCTGACTATATTCCTCTCATAGCGCAATCTCTGCATTAGTCTGTAATACTGGCATGTGTATTTAGGTCATCATACATCCATCATAGCACATGAAATATGGACTGAGGTAGTCAGGATGTGTTAGTTGAAATGTAACACTCAACATTTTACATAATAGAATACTGATTATGTAATAACATTGCATAACATTGCAAAATATATTAAATTCCAATATGTGGTCAAAGAATGAACAGTGTATAAAGATGTTGAAACTAAGCTAAGGAGTATGATGCTGTAGACTCATTATGTTCCTTTGTAATTTGTGTTTGTAATATTCAAACACACTAAAACTATATCGTTTCAGTAATTGTTATATTAAATATAAGTGGTATGATATTACAAACATTCTAGTCCATTACTGCTATAGTTTTATTTTGTGTTTGAAATATCACACTTATCATTTTACAACTGCAAAATTGCCAAAAGTTACAATTTTAATGAGGAATGAAAAGTAATTGTGTCAGTAATGGCTATAAGCTAAGTGGTATGATATTACAAACACACTAAAGTTTTGCCATGTGTTTGTAATATCATACTCATATAGTCAAATAGTCAATATCATATTCTATAGTTTATGAATTACATGAAATAGTATTGTTGTGCATTATCAAAAGTTACAGCATTAATGGGGAATGAAAAACTATTATGTCAGTAATGACCATAAGCTAAGTGGTATGATATTAAGAACACGGTTAAATTTACAGTAATGACTGTAAGCTAAGTGATATGATATTACAAGCACACTAACATGAATAAAGTTTCACCCTGTGTTTGTAATATGTAATATCATGTTTACAAATATACAATCGCAAAATAATGAATAGTTAAAATATTAGTGAGGAATGGAAGTTATTTTGTCAGTTATGGCTATAAACTAAGTACTGTATATGTAGTATGATATAACAAAAACACTATAATTTCATTTTGTATTTGCAATATTATGCTCTATCATGTCTATAGTTATGAATTCATAGAACTGGGCACAGTACCATATGTTACAATATTAATTAGAATGAAAAGCTATTTTGTGAGTAATGACTATAACCTAAGTGGTCTGATATCACAAACATTTATTTTGTGTTTGTAATATCATACTCTATGGTTTATTATTAATTAATAGTATTGTCACACATTATCAAAAGTTACAGTATGCATTAAAGAATGAAGAACAATGACTTAGCTAAGTGGAACATGTATGATATTACAGACTCATTGTAGTTTTGTTTTATGTGTTTCTAATATCAAACTTGTTACAAATATTATGGTGTATAATAACATGGGCTTTCAATAAGAGTTTGTGAAGAATCAAAAGTTATTGTAAGTGGTATGATACTTCAAGCACACTATAGTTTTATTTTGTGTTTGTAATGTCATACTATATTTCTTCATGAATGTATGGTATTCTGAAACATAAATATATAGCGAGGAATAAAAATTTATTGCGTTGGCTAATACACGCCCAGTGAGTTGTTATATTTACAATACACTAATTTATTTCGTGTTAGTACAGTAATATTTGTGTTTTTTTATATGTTATTGTTATTATTATTGACAAATAAACATCTTACTGTATTTTCAAATTCATACATAATGTTTCTCACTTTAGAATAAGTTTTGGTGAGTACATTAGATTGAACAGCCTATTATATTGCAGTACAATGCAGCCAAATGATAGAATTAAGAAAGAAAATAATGTATTAAGGCAAATGTAACTTTTTTGTCACAATGACTATGGCAATTCTTAATTTTTGATTTTCAATATGTGTGAATTAATCCCAAAATCCGCTTAAAATCAAGGGTTTTATTAGGCATGTTTTATTGGTTGCTATGACAACGCTTATTAGAACATTTATAAAAAACTAAGGGAACAGTTTAACATTGTACCAAATGAATGTATAACACCACACATCATTGATTATGATCATGTACAAGACAAATAAACATCTTACTGTATTTTCAAATTCATACATAATGTTTTTCACTTTAGAATAAGTTTTGGTGAGTACATTAGATTGAACAGCCTATTATATTGCAGTACAATGCAGTCAAATGATAGAATTAAGAAAGAAAATAATGTATTAAGACAAATATAACTTTTTTGTCACAATGACTATAGCAATTCTTAATTTTTGATTTTCAATATGTGTGAATTAATCCCAAAATCCGCTTAAAATCGAGGGTTTATTAGGCATGTTTTATTGGTTGCTATGACAACGCTCATTAGAATATTTATAAAAAAATCTAAGGGAACAGTTTAACATTGTACCAAATGAATGTATAATACCACGCATCATTGATTAAGACCATTTACAAGACAGTTAAAAATTGTTACAAAAGTGCTCCCAAAAGTTGCATTTTGAGCAAATAGGCTGGGTGGTAAGGGTAGTATAACGTCAAAAATGGGCCGGGTGGTAAAGGGTTAAAGGATAAAATACCAATGAGTTTCAAAGATGCAAGATCACAGATATATTACTGGAAATCAAATCTGACACCAGCAAAACTGTCAGATGTGGCCTTAGGTCCGAAGGGGACAAAAAATTCTCCTCTTGAAAATCTTGTCAATTGCGGAAAACTCATGTTTGCGAACATTATTCCATTCCTAGAAGATGAAGATATATTTGCAAAACTGAAGGAAGACAATTATGACATTGCTATAGTTGATATATTTCCACCTGGAGTTTATATTTATATCATTCCATATAAGTTAAATATTACATTTTGTACACTAGCCACACCTTACATAGCTGAGTTTATGGGGTCTCCTGCACTTCCTTCATTTACTCCCGATGTTCTTGCAGGCTATACTGAAGAGATGACTCTACATCAAAGAATAATGAACTTCATTAATACCTTGATGTTTGGTAGCGTACTTAAAACTGCATTTCAATCAACTGATGACTCTTTAGTTAGACGTTTCGTCCCTGAAAGACCCCCTATAAGCATTATACCAGATCTGCTAAAGCTGTCAGCCCGGTGGCTTATCAATACAGACCCCTTGATTGATTATCACCGCCCAACAATGTCAAATATTGTCAACGTGGGAGGCTTAACAATCCATCCTGCCAAACCACTCCCAAAACAGTTTGAAAATTTTATTTCAAAATCAAGCGGATTCATAATTGTATCATTTGGATCCATTGTAAATTCAATTGAAGATGACATTGCGGAGAAAATGAATAAAGCTTTTGGGAGCATAACGTATGATGTTATCTGGCGATATCCTGGAAATAACACAATGCCTCTCACTAACAATGTAATGATAGCAAAATGGCTTCCACAATATGATCTTCTGGCAAACGCAAAAGCTAAACTTTTTATCACTCATTGCGGCAATAATGGTCAATTTGAAGCATTGCAACATGGGATACCTATGCTCGGCATGCCCTTTTTTGGAGATCAGAAATTCAACAGCATGAGGATGCAGTATAAAGGATATGGTATCCACATGGATGTACTTCAGTTTACAGCAGATGAATTCAAAAATAACATTAACAAAATCATAAGCAATCCTGACTATACAAAGAGGATTAAAAAAGCATCTTGGATTTTTAAATCCCAGGAAAATCCTCGCAAACGTGGTGTAGCTGCGATAAAACATGTTGTGGATTTTGGCTCGGACCACTTGAGGCCAATCACAGTAGACATGCCTCTTTGGAAATTGTGGATGCTGGACATTTTTGCTTTAATAACTGTTGGAATACTCCTGGTATTAATAATTGCTAAATTAGTTCTCGGCTTTCTCTTTAGAAAATTATGGAAATACTGCTTTCCAATTGATAAACCTAAGGAAGATTAAGTATTCGCAATAAAAGCATTTAATTTATAATCGAACCAGAGTTGGTATTGATGGGGGCAATTTTGGTGGTACAATTAAAAAATTAATAATTTTGGCATCTAACTTGACATTTTTAACCAAATTAAAAAGTTAAAACAAATAAATAAACACAGTGTACCTTATTGATGAAACAAGCAGTAGAAAAATATAATAACTAGACTTTGGAAATTGAACGAAGTTCAATTTCAGACTCCAGATCTAGACTTTTTTTGGCCGAGTCATCCAGAATAAGCCGAGTCATCCAAAATAAGCTGAGTCATCCAGAAAAAGATGGATGGATGGATGGATGAAAAAGGAAGGAAGGATAGGCTAGAATAGGAAGGAACGATAGGATAGAATAAGAAAGAATGATAGAATAGAATAGGAAGAAGGAATAGAATAGGAAGGATAGGAAGGAGAGGATACGAAGGAAAGGTAGATAAGAAGGATACCATAGGATCACAAAGGAAGGATGGATGCATTTTTCAATATTTTCTTCTCTACTCTTGACTTTCTATCAGGATACCATCAGATCGATTTTTCTCGAAATTTCAAAACGCCATAACTTTCGAATCGGAAGTCGGATCGAAATTTGGTTTGCAGACTCGGATTCCTGAGAAAATTCTATTCTTAATTCATAACTCATATGTTAAATTTGGAGAACTTTTTATTTTGACCTACTTTTCGGACACCATATCTCAAAAGTGGGTAGAAATACTTTCTGACAGCAAAAGGCTAACACTATTAGCACACTTTGTCCTACCTGTATACAAAATTTTGAAGCAAATCATTTAAACATAGTGTCAGAATCGCAAAAATAAGGAAAAACTATGAATTTGACCTAGATTTTGACCTGGGGATTTTGGTGTCCAAATTTTGAAGTTAGGTAGCCTTCGAGGTCCCCTTCTTTCATAGGCTTTCATTATTTTAAGCTGTACTTAGTCTATATCTCGAATTTTACACTTCAAAAAAATCTTTTTTCCCATTGACATAACATGGGGCACCAAATTTAGCGATTTTTGAGCTTTCAAAATGTCATAACTTCCATACAGGAAGTCGGATCGAAATTTGATTTGCAGATTCGGATTCCTGAGAAAATTCTATACTTAATTCATAACTCAAACGTTAAATTTGGAGAATTTTTTATTTTGACCTACTTTTCGGACACCATATCTCAAAAGTGGGGCAAAATACTTTCTGACGGCAAAAAGCTATAACTATTAGCACACTCTTGGCTACATGTATACAAAATTTTGAAGAATATAATTAATCTGTAGTGTCAGAATCGCAAAAATAAGGAAAAACTTTGAATTTGACCTAGATTTTGACCTAGGCATTTTGGTGTCCAAATTTTTATGAAAAGAAGGTTTTGAGGTCCCTTTCTTTTATGGGCTTCCATTATGTTTAGCTGTGCTTAGTCTGTATCTCGTATTTTACACTTCAAAAAAATATTTTTTCCCATTGAATTAACATGGGGCACCAAATTTAGCGATTTTTGAATTTTCAAAACGCCATAACTTCTGAACCGGAAGTCAAATCGAAATTTGGTTTTCAGATTCGGAATCCTGAGAAAATCTCCTATAAGACTAATATCCTGGACATTGGATTCGGAGAACTTTTTTTTGGACCTCGTTTTCGGACACTGATATCTCGAAATCGGTTTGAGATACCAAAAAACTAAATCAACCCTAGATTTTCTACTTTTTTATGAGAAACACAATGAAAAAAAACCGGATCAAAAATATTGAAGGACGACCGAGAAAATCGAAAAAAGTGACAAAGTACTGGATTTGACCTAGTTCTTGACCTTTGACCTAGATAAAAATTTGACCCAATTTCCCACCAACTAGATACTGAACCTAAATGAACTGTATAATGGTCTTTACTGGATACCTTATAGTTATTGAAAAAACTCTTAAAGAAAAATAATAATAATAACTAGACTTGGGAAATTGAACGAAGTTCAATTTCAGACTCCAGATCCAGACTTTTTTAAGCCCAGTCATCTAAAATAAGCCGAGTCATCCAGAATAAGATGGATGGATAAAACAGGAAGGTAGGATAGGATAGAATGGGAAGGAACGATAGGATAGAATAAGAAAGAAGGATAGGATAGAACAGAATAGGAAGAAAGGATATGATAGGAGAGGATAGGAAGGATAGGAAGGAAAGGATACGAAGGAAAGATAGGATAGGATAGGATCAGATAGGAAGGATGGATGAATTTTTCAATATTTTCTTCTCTACTCTTTACTTTCTATCAGGATACCATCAGATCGATTTTCCGAAATTTCAAAACGCCATAACTTCCGAACCGGAAGTCGGATCTAAATTTGATTTAAAGATTCGGATTCCTGACAACATTTTACCCCTAATTCATAACTCATACATTAAATTTGGCGAATTTTTATTTTGACCTACTTTTTGGACACGCCATAACTTCGGAACCGGAAGTCGGATCGAAATTTGATTTGCAGATTCGGATTTCTGAGAAAATTCTTTTCTTAATTCATAACTCAGACGTTAAATTTGGAGAACTTTTTATTTTGACCTACTTTTCGGACACCATATCTCAAAAGTGGGTCAAAATACTTTCTGACGGCAAAAGGCTAACGCTATTAGCACACTCTTGGCTACATGTATACACAATTTCGAAGAATATAATTAAAGTGTAGTGTCAGAATCGCAAAAATAAGAAAAAACTTTGAATTTGACCTAGATTTTGACCTAGGCATTTTGGTGTCCAAATTTTAAAGCTAGATGGCTTTTGAGGTCCCATTCTTTTAAAAGCTTTCATTATATTTAGCTGAACTCAGTCTATATTTCGTATTTTTCACTTCAAAAAAATCTTTTTTCCCATTGACTTAACATGGGCTCAAAATTTAGCGATTTTTGAGTTTTCAAAACGCCATAACTTCAAAACCGGAAGTCTGATCTAAATTTCGTTTTCAGATTTGGAATCCTGAGAAAATTTCCTATAAGACTAATATCCTGGACATTTGATTCGGAGAACTTTTTTTTGGACCTCGTTTTCGGACACTGATATCTCGAAATCGGTTTGAGATATCAAAAAACTAAATCGACCCCAGGTTTTCTACTTTTTTATAAGGAACACAATGAAAAAAACCCGGATCGAAAATATTGAAGGACGACTGAGAAAATTGAAAAAAGTGACAAAGTACTGGATTTGACCCAGTTCCTGACCTTTGACCTAGATAAAAATTTGACCCAATTTCCCACCAACTAGATACTGAACCTAAATAAACTGTATTATGGTCTTTACTGGATACCCCATAGTTACTGAAAAAACTCCCGAAGAAGAATAATAATAATAAGAATAAGAATAAGAATACTGGCAAAAACAATAGACTCCAGATTTTCAATCTGGAGTCTAATAAGAAGAATACTGGCAAAAACAATAGACTCCAGATTGACATCTGGAGTCTAATAATATGTAATATAGTTTTATTTGCAAAATGTATGTACAGTTGTAGTATTCTTTCAAATCACCCAAGGCATGAGAGAACAAAATGCTACTTGAAATTAAAATCAATATGACAGCATAATACCAACAACATGGACAGCATGGTATACAGTGTAAGTATGATGAGCTAAAAGCTTTAACAGATATCATTTGCTTATTATGTTGTTGCTATCAGTGTAAATCGATAACAGAGAATTCAACAAAAAATGACATGCAATATTTTTTGCCTCTAGTTGATAAAATTTAGAAAAACAACCCATGACTACAACAGATATTAACCTTAAATTTGAACACACATCTGAATTTCTGATATTTCTTCATTAATCAAGGTGACTATTTTGTCCTTAATGTTATTTCGTAGTGGTTCTTATCTTGCAACTCTCGTTTTGGACATGGGTAAGTCTACTTTAAATGGGACAAGTGGTCTACAATCATAGAATTGTTTATATCATATTGAACATAAACACATAGCAGCATACTTCTACGTGGAACACTTTGATTTTAGGACAGAAACAAAATATGGCAAAAGGGAATTCCTGGTAAATATTTTTTAAATAATTGTTTTGAAACATTTTGAAGTTACATATTGAACGAAACAATTTTAAATAAAATTAGAAGTAATTACTTTTTTTTTAGTTATCTTCATAAGCATAACAGATTTCTGGAAATGTCTGGTGTTTTATTTCCAAAATTTTATTTCCAAAACTCAAAATCTGGAAATGACTTGTTATATGTATTTTGAAATGATGAGGTGCTGCACTGAACAGTAAAGAAAATTTACTTATGCAAAAAATTAATTGGTTATTTTGAAACAAATGGCTGTTACACTGTAAACACAATTACAGGATGTGGCTGGGGTTGGTGTTTCTCCTGGGCCTGATCCCCTGGGGGTCAGGCATGAAGGTTCTTCTCATCCCTGCCCCAGCTGGGGGAAGCCATCTCTCCTATTTCACGGCAGTAGGGGAGGAATTTCTTGCCCAGGGACATGAGGTATGTAGAACCTTTTTAAAATTGTGTATATATAATACCTTTTTACCACAAATGGATTCTTGTCTGCAATAAGGTGAACTGTAAAATATGTATTTCTTTATTTCTGCATTATCTAAGTACTTTTTGTTGTTACAATGTGTGGTCTCAATCAATGAAATGTTCAAAGTCTAATGAACGCCTTGACAGTATAATGTAACTCTTATCTTTGAGGTGGTTTGTATTTGACAGTACAGTGTATAATGTAATTCTTATCTTTGAGGTGATTTGTATTTGTATAATGTATTTCAAGAAGTAGACCATCATAATATAATAGAAAGGTTAAGTAAATAAATTTATTGTATGATCTGTAAAATGAAGCCTTCTGATTGGTCAGTTCTTGTGCTGTACCAATTTGCATTGCTACTGAGATTGTCCCCGTTGATCATCTCCGTCGCAATACAGAAAATGATGGTACGGAGGGGACAATCTCAGTAGCAATACGGAAGATCACACGATAAAAACGTTATTGAATGATTTGAAGTGCAATACAGGATATATTCTGTCTCGATTTTCTGTATTGGCACTCGACTTCATCTCATTCCAATACGGAATTTCTCGAGCAGAATATATCCTGTGTTGCACTTCAAATCATTCAATAACTTATAGTATTTGGAAGAACTTGAACATGAATGTGTAATATTATGACTACAATGGATTACTGTTCCCATCTCAATAGAATCATAAAGGCACCATAAACAATCTAAATAAACATCTCTATGTATGCAAAAATGTAAAAATGAAGCTATTGGTTGTAATTTTGAATTATTAAAATTGAAATTGTTTTTTTACAGATTGGGTTAGTTGCAGAACCATACTTAAAGGATAAAATACCAAAAGGTATGAAAGAGGCAGGATCACAGATATATTACTGGAAATCAAAGATGACACCAGAAAAACTGTCAGATGTGGCCTTAGGTGCAAAGGGTGAAAAGAATTCTCAACATCAAATTTTTATCAATGTTGGAAAAGTAATGTTTGAAAACATAGTGCCATTTCTAGAAGATGAAAAAGTATTTGTGAAATTGAAAGAAGATAATTATGACATTGCATTAGTTGATGTGTTCCCTCCTGCATCTCATATTTTCATTATTCCATATAAATTAAATATAACATTTTGCACACTATCCACCCAGTACATAGCTGAGTTTATGGGGACTCCTGCACTTCCTTCATTTATTCCTGATAAACTTACACCCTATACTGAACAGATGACCCTTGATCAAAGAATAATGAACTTTATAAAAACTCTGATGCTCGGTCATGTGGTTAAAACTGCATTTCAATCAACTGATGACTCTTTAGTTAGACTAATTGTCCCAGAAAGACCTCCTATTAGCATCATTCCAGATTTGATAAAAATGTCAGCATGTTTTCTAATAAACACAGATCCCTTGATGGATTATCAGCGCCCAAAATTGTCAAATATTGTCGATGTGGGAGGCTTAACAATTCAACCTGCCAAACCACTCCCAAAACAGTTTGAAAATTTTATTTCAAAATCAAGCGGATTCATAATTGTATCATTTGGGTCTATTGTAAATTCAATTGATGATGACATTGCTGAGAAAATGATTAAAGCTTTTGGGAACATAAAGTATGGTATTATCTGGAGATATCCTGGAAATAACACAATGACACTCCCTAATAATGTAATGATTGCAAAATGGCTTCCACAGAATGATCTTCTGGCAAACGCAAAAGCTAAACTTTTTATCACTCATTGCGGCAATAATGGTCAATTTGAAGCATTGCAGCATGGGATACCTATGCTTGGCATGCCCTTTTTTGGAGATCAGCACTATAACAGCATGAGAATGCATTATAAAGGATATGGTATCCACATGGATCTACTTCACTTTACAGCAGATGAACTCAAAAACAACATTAATGAAATCATAAGCAATCCTGACTATACAAAGAGGATTAAAAAAGCATCTAGGATTTTCAAATCTCAGGAAAATCCTCGTAAACGTGCTGTAGCTGCAATAAAACATGTTGTGGATTTTGGCTCAGACCACTTGAGGCCAATCACAGTAGACATGCCTCTGTGGAAATTGTGGATGGTTGACATTTTTGCTTCAATAACTCTGGGAATACTTCTGGTTTTATTCATAGCGAAGTTAGTACTTGGCTTTCTCTTCAGAAGATTATGGACATACTGCTTTGGTAAATTTAAGGAGGACTAGAGTTCCACAAATAACATATGACTATTTTCAATAAACATTAACAAATCTGAACCAAAGGATTAGTGTAACATTGATGTAACATTGAAAATAAAGTGTAGCTAAGAAATTGACCTATTTTTACCAACATTTAAATGAATATATAGATAAATAAATATATATTAGAAATGTATATTAATAGTTATAAGTCTTCTACCAGTATGATCATTTTATAACATCAAATAAAATTCATAATCATATTAGTTATCTTAAATAGACTGTGAACATTTTCCAAAATACTGTACTGTGATCTCTGTTTTCAACTAACTGATTAATGTATTTTCAATTATCAAAATGGTACATTATAGTATGTGTAGTATGTATGTCCCAATATGTGGCCTGAACCAATTTGGCTCGCCTAGAGGAACCCTGACCCGAGGGCAACCAGACCCACCCTTAAAGAGTGTATGACATGAGAAAGCTCACAACTGTGGTTAGTCAAGAAAAATTACTTCCTATCTTCAAAATATAATTTTCTCGAAAAATGATCTACACCTACATTTTTACAAAGGCCAATTTTTTGGGCAAACTATACCCAATCCTTGCTATTTTGTTCAATGCCTTTACTAAGTTAATATTCACGCTAAAATATGGTATCATCTACTCGGTAAAACACCATCATCGAGTCTAAACTACCGAATGTACCATTTTCACAGAACTGTAAAACACGTTATACAGTTCCCTATATTTCACATGACTGTGTATTCTCAACAGATGTGTGCATACAGCAACTAAGTAGATTTGACAAATATAAATGCGATCTTACCTGAATTATGGGTTGAAATTCAAAATCTATGCTGCCTTGGAGAATTGCGTTACGTGTGGTTCCCACTAGCACCATACTGCCCTTGCCTTGACTCAGTGTACGCACAGGACCATACTGTTCAGGAAGCTATAAACAGTCAAGCAAAATGAATAAGATTTGCCTTTTGTTCTTTCCAAGCAAGGGAATTATTTTCCAAGGAAGGGAATTGTGATTATCCAGAGAAAGATGTTTGTTCCCAAGCAAGGAGATTGTGATATTATTATTGTGGCATGGTCATTTTCATATTTTCATTTTACATTGATCAATCCCCATTTATCTGCTATTGCCCTTATTACATAATGAATCAGGATATAGCTTTAAAAGTTTTGTAGTCCCCCAGAATAACAGAAACACGGACACTGAATATACATAAATAATGAGTCACTTCAACTCAATGACAACAGTCAGTCCTGATATTAAATCTAAAAACAAATGAAAAATAACAACAAAAGTTTAGCCCTACCTCGGCAGAACCAATCTTGTTATAACTAGAGTCCCACTTGATGATTTTTCGATCCTTCCCTCCGCCAGATAAAATAGTGCCATCTTTCATGACAAGCAGTGAGAATATCCCTCCCTCATGGGCTCCTACGATTGGCCGGGTAACTTTGTGATCACCTAGGAGACAGAGACAGAAAAAGTTGTTTGTCATTAAAATGCAGTGTATTACAATATTTGATTGGTTAAGAGCTGATATGTGCTTAAAAATCATTTCACTTTCATATCAAGTGATCATACTCGTAATAAAAAGGTTGACATTGATTAAGGTTGAGTTAGATCGAGACGTTTCAGGGGTCAAACATGTTATAATTGGTTACATGTAAGGGCTGACAAAAACTGTATATACACTGCAATTGGCTAAGAATGTTTTAATTTCATTAAACACCTTCAGGCCCCTGTAGGCATGTACCCTAATTTTTTTCTTAAATATAAACTCAAAACTCACCCCATATAAAAATATTGCCGTTAGAATCACCAGTGATTAGGTCTCCACTCTCACTAAAGCCTAAACATAGCACATACTTGGGTTTTTCATTTCTCTGAAACATATAAGAAAACCTTGCAAATACCAACACACTTACATATTTTTTGAATATTTAATAAGAGATTTTTAGTTAAAGTTTCTATCCATTGAAATACACAATTCAGCTGTGTCTTATTTTCAACAATAATGAAACTACAAGAATTGGAATATACAGCCAAGTCCTGTCTTACTTTTATGCTCATTACAATAATTCACTTACATCAAATACTCCCATCTTTTTCGTTAACGCAACGCCATCTAGAGTCCAATATGACAGATGGCCTTTACCACAGGTAATTATTTGGTTACGTTCATATGGGTGAAATTCCGCAGCCAGCACTGGGTCCATGGAACTCTGCATTAGAAAAATTGCAATTGAGAAATTTTGATTTCGTTCCTCGTTTCATCTGTACACACTTGACAATACAGTAGATTCAAAGCCATCAAAATATTTGTACAGTGTATTCTCCAAATTGAGGAATTAACTCAATTTGTCTGTTTAGTTGCTTGATAATTCTCCATTGATCAAATATTTTACCGGGCTTTTAGATGATTATATGACTTTTTATTTTGATAGAATTCTGTATTGCAATTTTAAGAAAAACTTGTAGAAAAAAAACTCATCACATACTGAGAAAATAATCCCATCTAAAACATTGAGGCAAATAACAACATATATATCTTCCTAGATACCTTGGTTTCTGTAATTTTCTGCCCCCGCTCTCCTTTTTGCCAATCCCATACTGACAGCACATGCTCATTGGCTTCATCCACAGCACACAGCAGCTGTCCGCCATCCTGAAATAGGAATTAACATGCAATGTTTAGTTGGTGTTCGACTGAAAATTCAGAATGGCTGCCATGTATTTAACTAGCATGCTCAAAACCTGAGATCTTGATATTAGTCTGGTCTTGCATCTTAAAAATTTTAAGTCCTGGACTTTTATGACAAGATGTGGCGACCAGACAGAGAGAAACACACACAAACCAAAACAGGACCCACCAGTTACAAAAGATGACAGCAATTAGCACTTAAAAAGTGTGATAAAAATACTGTATTGAGTCTAATTACATGTGAGGTAGAAATCTTTGAATGCACTTACTGCTTTAGAGAAAGCCACGCAGCATACAGCCCTGTCAAACTCCCCTATTCCTATGACATGTGAGGTAGTGAGCCTTGAATGAACTTACTGCTTTAGAGAAAGCCATACAGCATACAGCCCCAATGCCCCATCAAACTCCCCTATTCCTATTACATGTGAAGTAGTAACCTTTGAATGTACTTACTGCTTTAGAGAAAGCCACACAGCATACAGCTCTGTCAAATTCCCCTATTCCTATGACATGTGAGGTAGTGAGGCTGACTGAGTCCCAGATTCTTATATGAGGCTGCAATTCAAAGTTAATGTAAAATAAGAAAAAATGACACGTTGTAATGAAATATAATAACTATGTTGTCAATTCAAAAACAAATTGGAAATGTACTTGCTTAATAATTTCAATTGACTTTATGAATTATGAAGTGTATTTCAATTTCTCATCTTTAATGAATCAGTTATACTTAATAGCCAGTACTGATGTCATCTAATAACTTTCTAATTGCATTTCAACTGAATCAAAGATTGATAAACTGTACATTTAATACTACATGTATTACTATACTATTAATATCTATTAATCTATGGTTATTATTTCAACTTTCAGTTGATTTAACATGCAGGCAAAATCAACAGTACAATGTTACATTCATGCCTTAACTTTTCGTCAATTCATATTGCGTTTAATTTCTCAATTCTATATAATTTAGAGTGTTTCAACAACCTCTCTTTATTCCTTGCTTCAGTAATTCCTCTCTTTTTACTCTTTTTTTGCATTCAAAAGATAAAGACCATTTTAAAAGATTAAAACCATTTCAAAGATTACATCAATTGAAAAAGATTACAACCATTTTAAAAGACTAAGACTATTTTAAAAGATTACAACCACTTCAAAAGATTACAACTATTGAAGAAATATTGCACAACATGCAATACAAAGGGATAAAACTAAAACAGGTCAATAATAACAACTATTGAAAAGAGTACACCATTTCAAAAGATTACAACCATGTGTTGAGAGTCTTACCCAGGTTTCTGGGAATTCTGTAAAATCATCTATTTGGTCCCGTAACTTTCTCTAGAAGAATCCAAGCATGCACAATGATGCAAACAGTGAATTAAACAAAATAAATAAAACAAATATACACTGTTGCTCATAAATATGGAATATTAGATTTGTCAGATAAGAATTCAAGTTTTGGATGAAAACAACTTTTATTTGGAGTCTTTTAAGCAAATAATTTTCTAGGCAAATCATAAACACATATTTAATCTACAAATCAACATTTTTTAGGGAAAAAATATTTACATTTAAGTTTAGAAATTTGCTGGCGTTTAAAATGGGGTAGTCTAAAAAAATTTGCATTTTCAAAACACCCCGATCCAAATTTTAATGTAAAGTGGATCAAACAAACTAAACACCAGGTCATGAAGATGAATTACTCCTCTAGCCCATAACAGCACTAATATACGGTATTTCTTCCTAGTGTTGCAATCAGAGTATCCATCCCGCGGGGCCTGCTGTCAATGATATGTCTGACCTGACTACGCGAAATAAGGTCCCACTACTCAATCAGAGGAGTATATAACTCTGCTAAATTTTGAGATAGGGGATCCATGTGACAAATTTCGCTGTCAGTTTCATCCCACATGTGCTCTGCGAGAGCCTGATCAGGTGACTTTGGTACCTATGGTAGCTGCTCCACATTGCCTGCCCTGGGGAAATCCTGCATAATGAAGCTATCAGGCGCATAAGCTTCATCATGCTGCAGTTTGAAGTTACGCCCAAACACTCTATTTGCATGTGGTACTAGATGTAGATCCAAAAGGTCACCATACCTCTCACCGCTTACATTACAGTTGAGACTCACCAAGGGGGTGTGAATCTCCTTGATGAACACCACCTCAAATATGAACAGAACCACCTCCACGAGCTACTTTTAATAACAATCAGTTTTATGTGAAAATATGAGGAGAAAATCGGGAGGCAATAAACATCTTTTAACTTATTTTTACCATTTGTAAGAATTATACCAAACAATTAATAATTGTAAAATATTCCATATTTATGAGCAACAGTGTACATTTAAAATATCCGTCTGCTCATGCTTATTTCGCAAAGTTCTCTAAAATATTTGAATGAAGTATCTGATTTTCTTGCATTTCTGTACAATTTAGAGTGTTGGTTACATGTCTGTTTATTTTATTCCTTGCTGATTCCACTCTTTTCCACTCTATTTTGCATATCAAAACATGACCACAACAACATTTTAATTAAAAAGAAAGAAATAACTTAAATAAAATGTGATACATTCAAAGCACAACATGCAATACAAAGGGATACAACTAAAACAGGTCAATAATTACAAATTGGCTGCTACATACATATTATCTCCAAAAAGACAACAAAAACATTTGATAACTATATCAATCTACAATTCCAAATTTTTGACTTGATTATTTTTTCACTTCATTTCAATCAATCCGATGTAGTAGCCAATTTGTAAGATTCAACTTAAAATAATATTTCAAACAAAGGATATCTAGAAGGTAGCAAGAGAGAAACATTAAAATAAAATCACAAAATTGATACTTATTGCAAAAAGTTCAACTTTTGAACTGAAATTCAATGTAATAGAGAGTAGATGATGTGTACATGCATGGGGAAGAAGAATCAGACCCGTAGCCAATAAGGGATCAGGAATAGGGATCTCCATTGAGATTAATTTTCAAAGCTCTTATTTGCATTCCGTCATTAGTAATTACTGTATTTTATAATTTTTTGTCAATTTTACTATTTTGGAAAAAGTCATTATTATAAGAAAATCAAAATTTCATGATATCAATTTTTTTTACTTTGAAAATCCTGCCCCTGTTATCCCATGGCTATGGGTCTAGTGTATGTTTAAAGGACTTGAAGAACTTATTGAGGGCTAATAACACATATGGCACACAATTTAACATGTGATTCTTGTCATGACTGTTTCTTGTCATGAATATAAGCTCATACCTTGCTCTCTTTCTTGTCATGGCCTGCAACCTGTCCTGTTGCTATGGTAATTTTATCTGGGTGAACTGCAAGACTGAAAGTACCAAAATATAAACAATTACGACTTTGATGTAGATTCAACATGTGTTTCTCACACATCAGTGCTAGTTACTCATAAATGTGTGATCCACCAATCTACATACATGTATCTATTTTCTATATTCAACGATTTTTTATATGAATTGAGACTCTGTTTGTAAACGGCATTTCAATTATACACCCGAAACCTAGAAGATTCAACAGTTAAAGCATGAAAAAGGCATTGGAATTCAAAAACTCTGATTTTACAATCACTATGTAGCAGTTTTTGTCAATGAGGCACATTTACAGAATCATTTTTATACTTTACACAGGGTCTTTTAGAAGATTCCCACTTGAAGTATGAGTATACTTTCATGCTAAATATACACAGAGTTTTATACTCACCACTTTACGTCATCTGTATGTCCTAGGTAGTGTCTTTGCATCTGTTCATCTACATTATATAACACAACCACACCAGCAATGAAGTAAACAATCTCTCCAGTTGGCAATAGATGGAGGTTTGATCTACAGTCACGCCCCCTATACCCATATCTGGGAACTAGGTTAAGGGAAATGGTAATACCAAAGATATTACAACAAAATTTCTGAACACCTATCTATTCTGAACATCTCTCAATGTGAACACTTTTTTCATTCCAGTTTTTAATGTGCCATATACTTCCATGTTAAAAAGCTTGAAAAGTGAAAACCTGTCAATCTGAACACTTTTGGCTAGGCTGAGTGGTATTCCGATGAGAAAGGTTTTACTCCTTGTTATAATATACTTTTCAACTTGTTGAATTCCACGTTGTTAATCAAAGGAAAAATTAGGTATACAATACAAAGGCATAATTTTCTGTGATTAAAATGAGCATACATACTGATACAACTGTATTTGAAATAATTACAGCATGAAATAATGTAAGGCATTCTTCATACAACAAGGTAAAACCAGAACAACGGCAACGCCAAAGCGTAGCCAATCCCATCGAACAGGCATGGCTGGCATTTTTACAAACAAAGTATATAGAAAAAATGGCAGCCATTTTTCAAAATGGCCACATTCTACCATAAGTATCATTAGACAGGGTGCCATGCTTATAGTATTCACATACCAAATATGAACAAAATCACTCCCCTACTTTTCGAGTTATAGTAAAATACGTTAAAATGGCGGCCATTTTTCAAAATATCCGCTATTTTTCAAAATGGCTGCCTTCTACCAAAAGTGTCATTAGACAGTGTGGCATGCTTATAGTATTCACATACCAAATATGAACAAAATAGCTCCACTACTTTTTGAGTTACAGAAAAAATCGTAAAATAACGAGTAAAGGCCGTCATTTTTCAAGATGGCTGCCATGTGCATTTTTAATATCTCCATTTTTAGCTTTATTAATGTCCTACATAATTTTTTTACATTTAAAACATATTGCTATCACAGTTTTACATATTGCACCTAAATTACAGTAAAATCGGCACTAAAATGTCTGCCATTTTGAAAATCAGCTTTCGAGCAGAACTTCTACCCCCATAGGGTATATGTGTACAAAATATGAACAAAATCGAGCCAACGGTATTTGAGTTATTGCCCGGACGGATGGACGGACGGACGGAGGCGTTCCCTATATCCCTCCGAACTTCGTTCGATGGGATAACAAACTGCCACATTTACTCAACTCATTATTTCATTAATTTAATTAACAATACAGAAATCGTGACCACTCTATATTTAAGTCAATAGCTATATGGACTTACTGCAATTGTCTCATCAAATCTTTTAAACAATATTGCCAAAGTCATTAACCTTGTTTTTATCAATGCAAAACTATTGTATTCAATGACTGTTCTGTATATTTGATGACTTTTATGAATTTTATTGAAATCATAATATAGATTGCCACAATATATAGTGTTCCAGTAGCACGATCATCCTATTTTCAATTTACAAAGAATATGAGTGGGCAGAATGATAGCCATTTGTTGACACAGGTGATTATTAGTAAAAAATTGCGACCAACTTCCTGAAAAATTGTCACACTTTTACATTACATGTACATGTACTTTGTTAATTACCAAAGTATAAAAATTTGTGACAGATTTTGATGTCAAACACCGACAGCAAAAACAATGTAAAACATCAGAGATAAAAACAGTGCTACTTATATGTCACTCCTTCTTTGAAGACAAATGAAATTAGACCTATTAAATAATCTAAATTACATGAAAAGATATCTCAGCTCTTTTTCAGATAATCAGTTCAGGATCTAAAGGAAACACCGATAAGCTTTTGAAAGATCAATTTTGAGGTGATTTCCACTGGCATCGAGTTGGCATCTATTGCCATCATCTATCAGAGAAGTATTGATCTAATATTTATGTCTTTACATACATTTTGACATCAAATCATATAGTATCATTTAAGTGGTTCAATTTCTTTGCCCTAAGGTGCCCAAAACTCTAAAAATCATAAGAGTGCTTTTGGGGCCCATTAGCTAAATAAGCTCACATGAGTGAACTATTTTTATCATTCATATAGTCTACTCTTTTGCAGTCTGAGTTAGAGGTGTCAAGTATTAACCGGTTAATCGGTTAACCGCCGATAATGCCTTAACCGGTCTGTGTTTTTATGGGTGGTTAGTTGACCGTGTATAATTCTATTATTTCCCGCGCTAATATTGCATGCTCATCTGTTTGGTTTTAAAGTGTCAGTTTCACGTAAGCTACTCATACATGTCATAAGTCCGATAACTCCTCACAAACATCCAATCACTGAATCAGCAACTTAGATCCCTGCCACATTGCTTTCCCGAGCTTACTTTGCATGTTAATCTGTTTGTTTTTCAAGTGTCAGTTTCATGTGAGCTACTCATACATGTGATAGTTCCGATCACTCCTTACAAACATCCAATCAGCACCTTTAATCCCTGCCACATTGCTTTCCCGCGCTTACTTTGAATGTTAATCTGTTTGTTTTTCAAGTGTCAGCCATGTGTAATCAACTCATATTGCAAAACTATTTCATAAATAAAAAATTATATGCATTTTTTAATTCTTCAGTTTTGTTATTATTGTTGTCTATCAACGTCGCCAAAATGTCAAAGGTCAAAGCCTCGCTTTGGTAGTGAGAAAATTAAAATCAAAATAAACACTAATCAGCTGCAATTCTCGTTGTTATGGTGCGTTCGTGGAGATTCCAAGGGTAAACCAGTGTTGTAATTTAGAGGTACCGGTAGTCAGGTAGTGTATGAATAGAACAGAGTAAAGCTTGACGAACGTACAAAATAAACGCTGATATATCATTTTTCCAATTTTTTTCAACTTTCAAGATCGAAGATGAAGATTTCATTTGAAATTATCAGTTCAAATTTCCCGCCGGTTAACCGACTTTAACCGGTAAAAACATCCGGTTAACCGGTTAATGCTCAAGCAGTTAATTGACACCACTAGTCTGAGTAAACTAAATTATCTACCCAATACCTGAAAGTCAACAAATATTTTCAAAACTATAATACGATAAACTTTCAATTAATGAATTTTTTGCCTTCCAAATGATAAGCTATACCTACAGACCTGGAGGCTAGAGCTTCCTTATTGGTTAATAGCCCAGAGATTCATTGTATCATTACATATCAGGCTCGTAGCTAGGGGGGTTTGATGGGTTCGAGCGACCCCCCCCTGGCCAAAAAATATTTCCTAATCATGCAGTTTTCATCATTCTGAGCACTTTTTAAGTGATTTTGGCCATTTTTGGACCAAAATTGTCACAAGTGAACCCCCCTGGAATTTTTCAAAAAGTGAACCCCCTGGCAAATCCTGGCTACGAGCCTGCATATACTTCCTGGTCACCCTGAAGTCCAGAGGTAAGCAGTTCCAATCATTATGCTCTGAGCTGGGCAAATTGATTTGCTGATGAAACCTTAAAACCCAAAGAAGTAGCTGCCACTATGGCCAGATGGCCTTTAATGGGAGTATGAAGATGAACTGAATACCAGGCACTTTTGGAGGCAGCAATTTCAGTACATGAATATGCTGATATGTAGTGTAATTAATATTTAGAGAGTATCGATGGGGCATAGTGTGACTGTTTAACCTTTAGCATGCTACCGGCAACCAGAGTCGCCCATGCTTTACTATCCTGTGTGACTGCCGGCAACTCCGGTCGACACAATTTAAACTTTTAAAAACTTCACTTTTTTGCGCCATTCTTATTATCCAATAAGATTGCATGTCTTATTCAGTGCGATACATGACTTCCGGGTGACCTAGAAATGGCGATGTTTCGAAGAAAAATTGTCAATTCAACAATTTAAACGCGAGGTCATTTAGACATGAGGTTTATTTTTCTGTCTTTTAATAAGTACAATAACAACAGGAATTGTCCCTCCAAAAAAGTAACTCAACAAATTATATTCGAAGTGCGATAACATAAAAATCAGAGGAAAATACAAGAAACAAATTTAACAGACACAAGATAATATCCTTTATTTTCATAAAATTCAAAATAAGTCAGTATTTCAATTTATCTCAACATCAAATGGCCAAAAATGAGAAAAACTGGTGTGAATTATTTTTGATTTTTTAAATAAACCTTCCGTCACGATATATTCATTTGTTGGACAATTCACAAAGCTGATGAAACCCTCAAATATTATTTCATTTTGATGTCATATATTATTTCCCGAGAGTTAAAACAAAAGAAAAGAAAAGTTTGTGCTACGCATAAACAACATATATACTCAATACACTGTTAAAATATCAAGGAAATCCAAACAGTTTCATTGAAATTCATCGAAAACAAACAAGTGGAGAGAAATAATTTGAATAGGTAAATGTGTCATGGATTAGTATAAAAGGTGTTCCATCTGCCTCTGTGGATTATCTGAATCACAAATCAGAGGAGCCATGGAAGGAAGGCACATCATTGCAGCACTTGTGTGCTTCACCATCATTCAAACTGTCATTTCAAATGAAGGTAAGATACAGTTTCCACTTCTTGCATAAACAAACCTATTTATACAAGTATAAGGTTCAATCATGAGTGTTTCCAATTAGTCCACATTATTTGCTATGCAATTCATTCTTCACTTTTTTACCCATCAGATCTTAAAGGAATTCTGAGCGATAGGAATAACAAAGTATTGCTTCGGGGACGAGATCATATTTAAGCAGATATAGGATAAATTCATAAAAAATATTTCTTTGATCAATAAAATCATCAATTATGAAACTGAAGTGTGCTCGTGAACGTCAGTGTAGAAATATTTAAATTATTTCAAATTTTGCAGTGGATTCGATTTTAAATGCTACTAAATGATATTCAAATGCTTAATATAATTATTCTATGATAATTCTATTTGTAATGTTTCGACTTTCCCAGTTTATAAAAAGAACATTATCAACATTTATTCGACTCAAAAGTTCATTTCCAGTTCATCTTAAGTCTAATAAAAAGAAACTGACAAAAGTATAATAAATAGTTATTGTCAAGAACTCTTTAACATGAATATAACAAGATTCTCAAATCATTTTAAAACGTAACTTCTCAATTTGTTGCAAATTACATAATTGTTACAGACCGACACATAACGCCGACATATTTTGCTCACACTAGTATCAGATCTAGGGAGCAACTTAAACAAAATCTGTTTCAATTGTAGTTTTTGGCTCATATCATCTTTTGCTTTCTTCATTTTCTTAAAATCACCAAAATGCATACTAAACTTGATGAAAACTTAAGATGTATGTAATATATTCATTTTCTGCAGAGGTGGTTACCATATATTTATTATTTTGGAGAATTTAAACATTTTCCTCATTCTTGCACTTGAATCTTAATAATTTCACTAACTGATTGCATATCACATATCTTTTGGGAGATACAATATTTGAGCTCATTATAAGGAATATATTGTTTGGTCAATTGCATGTTGCTTACAATTTTGTCACCCCCTATATATCTCATTCTGCCTTTAAACAGGCAATGTGCCTATTTTGGAAGGAAAAAGGACAAAATATTATATGAGACATGTCACTCACACAGCCAATCAAATATGATAAAAACTTTAATTTGGGATAATACTGAACTGAAAAAAAAATTACTCGCATAGAAAACGGCATTTGAAGTTCAGAGACTGAAAAAAGTGAATTACCACTTTTCACATTTGTGGATGTTTTAAATAACTCTTGGATTAAAAGATGGCGTATGCTTGAAAATCCTATCAAAATGAATGGATAATTAATGCAAACAACAATGCCATCTTTCTATGGCATGGCTAAAAACTTGACACATATAAATTGATAGATCAAAAATATTTTTTCATGATCGTGTCAACTCTGATGTGGTCTGTTTGAGCTGTTTTTGGTGTCAAATGAAAGATCAGGTACTTATTTATCCATTGGAAATACTATGAAGATCAAAAGTGAGACTTCATTTACGCACTTTGTCCCTTTAAGTTTATTTTGGAATAATTTTTGAACAACATTAAACAAATGTCTCATGTTTAATTCTCGACTATGGATACCTTTTTAAAACTAGATATAGTAGTGTTACTTATGAAGGAAGTCACTGAGCCATCAAAAAAGGAATTCTCAGAAGATGTTGCAAAATAAGAAGAGAGATCCTTTTTCTAAACCACATCTAAGAATTAACGCTCAATCCTTTGCTGACCATATACGATATGGTCTAAATTGATAGATTAAAAGTGCTACTGATTTATTAGCTTACAGTCATAGAACATTCTTAGACCAATTAACAGTTCGTGATATCTTCACATTTTTCTCCAATAAGGTCTACAAGAGAAAGGGATGACAAAAAAAAGAGCGGCAGAATTCTTAACGTGTGGAAGAAGAGCGAATGGTCCACTGGAGCCGGCGAATCGATGGCTAGAAGACCTTGATGAAGAAATCGAAGAAATTGCTGAATGGTTCACCAGTGCCAAAAGTGACAACATTAAGAAATATCTAGCTCAGAACCGTATGAGAATGTCCACGATACAAAGGTCTGTCACTAAAATGCGAGAGAAGACCGCAGCAACACCTCCTATGTATGTTGCACCTGCTGAAAGATACACACTGCCTTGAAGAGCACCCGAATGATGACTTACATTGTATCTTATTATATTGAATAATAAAGCAACTAGAAAAAACAGCAACTCCACGGAGTAGCAAATCCCACTGAACAAACATATTATGCTTTTTATAGCTAGTGTAAATGTTGAAATGTTTGTGCACTTTGTGATAGAAGCATGAAATTTGGCACAAAGTAAGTTTATACCATTGTGAACTAGGCATCATCATATAAAATTTGAACCAGATCCGTTCACTGGTATATGAGTTATCAAAGATTACGTTTTTTAAGAAAATTGGCCGCCATCTTGAAATTCAGCCGCCATCTTGGAAATATTTCTTGAACAGAGCTACTGTCTCTTTAGGCATAATCATATAAAATTTGAACCAAATCTGTTCACTGGTATTTGAGTTATCAAAGATTACATATTTTTACGAAAAATGGCCGCCATTTTAAAATTAAGTGGCCATTTTGAAAATCTCTTTTTGTGCGAAACTCCTTTGTCCCTAGGCATGAGCATATAAAATTTGAACCAAATCCGTCAACTTGTATTTGAGTTATCAACGATTACATTTTTTACTAAAAATGGTGGCCATTTTGAATTGAGTGGCCATATTGAAAATTCCTTCTCGAGCAGAGGTCCTACACTCATAAGGCATAAGCCTATAAAATTTGAACCAAATCCGTCAACCGGTATTGGAGTTATTGCCAGGACACACAGACGGACGGATGGATGGACAAACGGACGGATTCTCTATATCCCCCTCGAACTTTGTTCGGTGGGATAACAAAAAGCTAGCCTCTAATTCTGAAACAGGGTTTTTAATAAAACAAGAATGTTCTAAAAACTTTTTTGCGTAAATAGAATGTTCAATGTGTGCAATAATCAAAAAAATAATGGTATAAAATTTGTAGCAATGCAGTGACTGTAATTTAGAAAGGAAAAAAGTTTTCATCTTGGCATTCTCTTACATCAAATCTAATATACCACCATGTATCGTAATACCAGTCTCTTTCTAACAATACTTGCATCAATTATACAGTTAATCCATAGCAATTCCCAAGATTGATGTTAATTCAAGCATCTGGCAGAAAGTAATCACATTGCCACAAATTATTGCTTCAAATTATCTAAATGGTCTGCTGAATGATTAATTTTGAGATATAATTTAGCTGTCTATTATTCAGAGATGATAGCAATTTGTCAAAGTTGTTTTAACCTTTAAAACTTTGGTGGTTATTGCATTTAATGGGCACAAGCTGGATACAACATGAGCACTCTCATATGGAGAATAACAAAACAACTAGCTATAAAAAATAAATGTATTGTAATTATTTTATGTTTGTTGCCCCAGTGAACTTTGGGAAATAAAGAAACAATATGTCAGAAATCCATATAATTCCATCATGATAAACCATGGCATCTCATTTCTTCTCAGCCCTGAGATGTTTCAGGTGAAATAGAAAGATGCTATGAGTATCAGAATGATATAATTCATTCTGACCAGGGATAATATTTTGATTTAAATTGTGTGCCAAATTCAATGCTCTGTGTGGGATTTACACCCGGGACCTCTCAATCTTCTAACCAGGTTTCCAGGAACTGAGCTACAAAGTCCTAGCCTCAGAATGGCTGTGTTGCAAGGGCTACCTGATCCCCAGGGGTCTGTTTTTTAGTACGATCAGAAGTTACAATTCCACAAAAATCACTGTCTCATTTAGTAAGACAATGATATGCAACAAAATTTGAACAAGTGATGGTTCCAAAAATAATCCCCATGGTTACATTTGGATTATTTTAAAAGGATACACCCATTCCAATTTTAATTTTTCTGTAGGTGGCTCCCCAACCTTACTCATGTTGTAATCCTCTAGATCTGATGGGGCATAGAGAGAGATGGGACGCCCACGCAGGTACATCTTCAAACATCGCTCCTCTGGAACAAAATATGGAATTTTTTAATTATTGGTATCAACATAATATTACATTATAAACTAAATACATATACTCAAATATTCTGATTTTGGAAATTGACTATTCATTGTTATGTTTTGGCTTTCCAATGGTAAAATGTAAAAAGAATTCTTTAGACAATATCTCAAAGGTTACTGAAATCTAAATGTAATGCATGTAGATATAAACATTTACAGGAAATGCAAATATACATAGAACATTTTTTTAATATAAAAATTCCTAATTAATTCTTAAACATGTCAATTTAAATCCATAATCTGAAACATTATAAGAACTGCCTTGAATTCAGATACTGCCTGTTTTTTTTTGAGAGGGGGGAACTGTGTGCCAGAGTATCATTTTCTTAGATCAAATTACTCAGAGAGGCTTATTAACCAGGATGGCAGAAACAAAATTACAACAGGCCAGAGATTATACAATGATGTCATTATAATTACAACTTTTGAGATCTTTTCAGTCTAAAGATAGGATTGCATGACCATACAGTTCTTTAAAAAACTTTTTTGAACACGATTTATGAAATGTTGGTCACATACAAATATTACTTCCTCGTTTTAAATAGACAAAAATGACAAGAAAAGCATAACATGGAACTTCAGTTTATTTTCGTTCATACCGCTAAAGTGAAATTAAGTAAATCCTTTTTTCTTGAGATATGTACAGCAGAGACATTATTTAACATTATTCATCAGTACTGTGTGTCACATGATGATGAACTAGTTGACAAGACCTACTCACTTTCATTCCAGCCTGTAGGCTTTTTTCCTGCTCCACTTTTCCTCATCTTGCTTAATTTTCTTATTCACTTATATCCTAACTGACAAACTGACCATACAAATCTAAAGACACACCCCTCCCAATATGTACACTGTACTATAACTTTGAGTGAATTTTTTTGCTTTTGTTTCAAGTATTCCTTACTGCTAAAGTCTGCCCTTATTCTGTATCAGTTTATGTTAACTTGAGCTACATGAACATAGTTCAGTCATATGATATCATTCTAGTTCCACATCTACATGCATGGGGGTCGTATCAAACTATGAATCAAATAAAGGTCTTTAACATTTGTATAGGATCGGACATATTCTTGAAAATGTTGATATCGGAAAAAGCCAGTATGTTTAACAAAATTAAATATGGATTAGATATCATATATAAACTCATAGTGGTTGAAATTCACCCGAGAAGCTTACCAAACCACTAGTCATATCAAAGTACTAAGAATGGTCAAATGAGCCTCAAATTTGTCCCAGGGATAAGCATGATAACAATTCAAAGACCATAACAAATAATTTGAGTTAAAAATAAACCTTCAAATTCATGAAATAGAATTTTCCTAAATATTCTAGAAAGGGTTATACAAGCATCATGCATGGTTTTTTAAATGTTCCCTAATTGTTCATCACATCTGAAATAATGCCAATTTGTTCTCTCTCATAATTACTTCATCAATGCATATTAACAATTTCAAAAGTCACATAAATATTTCATTGCTAATGCTTAGTATCACTCGCAATTGGTAAGTTAGATGTATTTAAAGGAATATTCCTTGCCAAACCATCTCTCTCCTCATATGGTAGCTATAACCATATGTATGCTTGCCATGTTTAGCAAAACACGCAAAATTTGATCACTTAGAAATGTGATGCTCAATTCCAGTAAGCTGCCATCTTTTAAAATTTCACACAGGAAGTGATGTCATCGACTCTCAACTTTGCATATAGCATTAGGTGAGGAGCTATTAAGAATTACAAAACCAGCTAAATATTATTTTTCAACTTTGTATCTTATTTAATCCTTCTGAAAATCTCTTCTTTTATTCTAAGTTGAAAAGCCCTGAAAATATTTTTGCACAGAAAGTAATGATCACTCGTCTAGAAGTGATTTTGTGCTACTTTCCTATACTGTTATGGGCAAGGTTATAGAAGTTGAGAGTTGATGACATCACTTCCTGCAAGAAATCTTGGCAGCTCACTGGAAATAAGCACTAGATTTTTAAATGATCAATATTGACCATATTAAAACATTTTCCCATGTTTTGCAAAATATGGAAACTATATATATGATTATAGCTACAATTTCATGAGAGAAAGGGTCTGGCAAGGAATATTCCTTTAATGAAAGTTCAATGTTTTGACTATACATGTACATGTACTCTTAATTAGAAAGAGTTCTTTGATTCAGCCCAATTCTAAGATGATGATGCAATCATATTAATTGAGGACAATCAATCTTGAGGAGGATGTTCTCCTGGATCATGATAAGCGCCTGCAATTTGATGTTGATATTGGGGCAAAATATTCATATAAAAACCACATGATCATAAAAAACCATAACAACTCCTATATCACTCTCACAAGAGTGAAAGTTAATATGGCAGATGAAATCTTACCTGAATTAAAAGTTGTCTCCTTTGAGCTGCAATAAAAAGAATATATTTAGAAACAAAAAATAGTCATTTTAAACAAATTTATATTTTATAAATTATATGTGAAGATGAAATGTAGGCAAAATTACTAACTGAGAGATAAGCACGACAAAACTATTATAAAATAGAAAATTATATTTGAGCCACAAACTACAGAACTGGTACAATGATTTCTATATTCTAGCTAAACTAAAATTGTAGCAAGCAACAACAATCAGGGATAATCTAATAATTTATTTATTTACTTTTAAATTGTTAATTATATTAATATGATAAGTATTGTTAATTGCCATCCTCCAAATCATTAGGGGTTAAATAGATTGGCAAAAAATGGACTACTTAGATTTTCCATTCCGTACATTCATGAAATTTCAATGGAGGAAAGGAAGGACCGATGAATATCTAATTTGATTAGACAGTTATAGTCACATGATCATTCCTGTTCTTGGTTATAAATTCACTTATAGATTATAAATCATTCATTTTGATAGCCTAGTATCTGAACATTTTTTAGAAAATAACTTGTTTCATTGAAATGAAGTGCTTCTGCATTTTCAAGAGTAATATTCCTAAATGTCAGGATTCATGCCATGTAATTTGTATTCGACTAATTACAAGATGAGAAATGACAATGAGAAAATAATTGCACAAAATCACAATAATCTGAACATAATTCTTCTCATTGATTCCTCTCAGTTATCAATATGTTCTGTCGAAAGCAGTAAGAATTTCTTTGAAATATAACAACACCAAATCTTTCCACGATGGGAGAATATGAAATATAAATCTGAAACAATTTGGGAATAAACCCATTTACAAGTTTTCAATTTTATTTATAGTAACGACACTCAGTATGGGCATGAATATCTATTTGGTATTTGGTATTGGTATTCTGGTATATACAGGGTGATCTAAATATGCATGTCAGTACAAGCTTACAATGGTAGTGAAAATAAAATCTGCCGAATAAAAAAATCTGTAAAAACATTGTACCCATATGATTTGGAGGATGTTTATGGTTAAGTACCGAAAATTTCGTTGTACATGAGCAGTATTTAGTGAAGTTGTAGAAGAGTTGAAAGATGGCCGTCGTGTACTAAGACTGCCAAGAGAGGGAGAACGCTGACTAAGACGTGCCGGAGATGGAGTTGAAACCACACTATATGATCTAAAAAAGTTAAAATAACCTAGGTTTGACAGTGTAGCATTGATGTAGGTGGTTTTGATTGATTTCTATATAATCACTCATTTATGGAAGTCTAAGTGCAAACTACAGCACTCAGTGCCAAAAATGACTGAACAGATATTTTCAGATGTTTTAAAACTGAAAGTTCACAAGTACTCATCAATGCTGCACCGACCTGTTAAAATTAACCAAAATCATGCAAAAAAAATTAAATTAAAATTAATGTATCATGCATGCATGTAAACAAAAAAGGTAATAGTAGACGATACAGTCATGCATATTAGAATTGTAAGTACTGTATATGCTTGCATATAACATTGTACATATCAACATCGAATTCTTGAATGCTATTGTATACTTTATGATATGAACTTCATTGTTTGGAGCAAAATTATAAGAAGAGATGACCTCACTAGTCAAGTATTCTGAAGATAAGTTGTAATAATTAAGTAATAGTGTTCCTGATAGAGATATGGAAAATTGGATTATGACCTTTAATTTGATTTTTTTAATTCATCAAATCTGAAATAGGGAGCCTGATTTACCACATATTAAGGTAGGTCTAGAGGTGCACTTTTTGACTTGTTTGTACATGCTGTCAGTATGGATTAATCATTCCTTTGAACCTACCTTAATATATTTTTAATTTATACTTTAGGGAGACTTTATTGATGTTGGCATATATAATGTTCCATACAAAGATACAATTATTTCTGGAGAATTATTCATGTAGTAAATGTTAGCCATGTCATTCCGAGTCTCTGTCCTATAATGATTATTTACATGTGTTTATATCATTAACACATGTTAAATTATTTACATGTATTTGAATTATGTACATATTGTTATAACAATTAACATGTGTTATTCACATGTGTTAAAATTATTTACACATGTAATTATTTACACATGTAATTATTTGCACATGTTTATATTATTTATACTTGTTTACATTCATTAAACATGTTAAATGTTTTACACATGTTAAATTATTTCCATATGTTTACATTATTCACGCATGTTAAAAATGATAACACGGTTAAAAATTCTTCAAAAATGTTAAAGTAAAATACATGTGTTCATATTTTTACACATGTTAATCGGCTACCACCATTTTCAAGTAGAGTACTAATATATTTTGTACCTAGAAATACTTCACAATAAATAGACTCTCAACAGTTACATTTATTTTGACATTGCTTATTACCTTATCACGTTATTTGAAAGGAAAGGTCATGGAATATTCAATGCACTAAAAAGTCAAATCTACAATGTTTCATTTTACATTGAAAGCATTCTTAAGGTGACACTATGTTTAGTCGCAAAATATTTATCAAGTAACTTCCATTAACTCATTTCCCTTTTTGCTTCAGTAACAGGTCGCTGATTTGAAAAACATTCACTTTCTGGTGTCATAATTATATTCTATTCGACATTCTTCGAGTCATTTATTTAAACTTTGAAATCTGTAATTTAACTTCAGGTCACGTTCAATTTATCTATTTTTAACTTGCTTTGATTAAAAGTTAAATTTGAAATGACAAAATAATAAAATAATGCATTGGTTTCTACTTCTTGTGTTAAGATATTAAGCATTTCAATTCATTATTTGCAGATGCAATCGTAATTATAATCCGATATTAAATTATTATAGGTACAAAATACATTCACAATATGTTTAATATGAGTTGAAAATTTTATACTGAAAATATTAAGAATAGAAGATTTTTATATGAGATTTCAGATCGATCATATAGATGGCGTTTTACCGAGGCCTAGTTGGTGTGGAGGTATATCGTCCCGTAAGACTCGTCATAGAGATAGAGCCGCTAGTATTTAATCTAGAAACAAAACAAATCAAGAAAGTAAACAACACAAAATACAGAAACAAAACAAACAAAAATGCAAACTGTCTAATAATAGATAGTGCCTAATAAAATCACATTTAGATGCTACATGCAAAAAATATGAAATATACAATCCATGCCATACTAATCATACTAATTCAAAAACACAAATATATCTATTTTAAGTCAAGTAAGAGACAAGGTCAATATCCTAAGTACAAATGCAAACATAATTAATAAAAAAAATCACATTGGGAAGGGGGTAAAAGTCATATCTTTTCAAGGATATGGCTTCCTGGATTGAGAAAGAGAAAATATTGAAATATTGACTTCAGGGAAAATATTGAAATATTGACCTGGTCCTCAAAATAGATATTCTAATACACATTTACTTTAGCACTGAACATATGCAAAAATTCAACTAACTTTTATCAGTCCAGCCCAAAAACACAAAGTATAATACAAGAACAGACGAAAACCAAACCATTATGATATAGATGCAATTATTCTGTGCTTAATTGAATATCTACAGTATATAGGACTTGGATTTGTTGGGTTGCACTGGTGAGAAAAAGCATGCATGACTAGCTACAAAGGCCACTCAAAATTAAATGTCTGTTTCCCAATATTCACTCCAAAAACTCCATTTTTGTTGCGTTTGGGGACTTTTATTCCATTTTGATGTCAGAATTCAAAACTTTCAGAGTGTAAAACTTGGATTGGATATTTTTCTAAAAAGTGCTCAACAGATAAATAATTTTTAGTGGCCTAAGGGGCATAACTGTCATTACTTGCTAGAATCCTCCTTAATGGCGTGTAGCCTTCTGAAGCAACAACATGGAACATAAAGCAACATTAAATAATCAAATAATAATTAATAATCAATTAATCGATTAATACCAAATGATAAAGATATATGAATCACTGCACATGATTCGTTTGCTTGACATGATGTGAAAAATTGAAATGTTTGAAGAAACATGAATAAAAAACATAAATTATCAATAAGGTTGTGATTAATTATTAATCAATATTAATCGATTAACATCAATATGAACAAATAATAATGATCACAATTTGCCTGCGCCACAAAGGCATGATACGATGCAGGAGAAATAGTAAAGCCCAGTGAAAACTAAAGCAACAAGTACAATCAACAAAACAAAGCTAAAAATCGCATCCTGTACAAATGAGGGTAAATATCCCCCCACAGATTTTGATTTCTTCAATGTCACAAATCGTTAAATTCTCAAGACTCTCCATCTTCAAATTTGTCCCACAAAAGATATTGCAGCCTTATGTGACTGTAGCATCATGTACATGTATTCCATATTATATAAGACTTTCACACAATGAAGGACATTGACCAAGCAACTTAATATCTCTCATAACAGATCAAAGATGCCCTTGGATTTGCTTATTACATTCCTAATTCCTAAAATCAGTCAATATTTTTGCTTGATAGTTGCCAAAGACAGAGAGAGGGAGGTTCTTACTACCCATACAAATCTAGATCACATGATCTCAACTTGGCCAATCAAATTCAAGAAACGCAGACCATACAGCAGGTGATTAGATAAGGCAACTGACCACTATTGGAAATGGTAAATCCTTTGGTTTGGACATAGATTAGATTATCAAATCAATAAATCGTCTGACAATTGGAAATAGCAAATGAAACCAACGTTCTATTCTATTATTTAATAGCACAAACTGCAATAACAAGTCAATTTTCTCAAAAAATATTTGGATATAAATCAGAATTTCCTTTGATAAAGTGAATCTGGAGATTAGACATTGCTGGTCTGTGAAATACAAAAGTGGATTCAATTTTGAGTTTATCTAGTGTACAACTTAATGTTCTGCCCAAATCAAGAATTTGCTCAACAGAAATATCTTTACTGCTTGAGTGGAAAAGAAGCTGATATTCTGGCATTTTGGAAAACAGTCTAATTCTCAAATCCTTGACATCTGCCTAAAGTATAGGTTCTCTCCCTAAAGTATAGGCTATCTGCCTAAAGTATAGGTTCTCTCCCTAAAATATAGGCTATCTGCCTAAAGTATAGGTTCTCTGCCTAAAGTATAGGCTATCTGCCTAAAGTATAGGTTCTCTGCCTAAAGTCTTTTAGGCTCTATGCATATTCACCTTGTTTCTTGCTTAGTCCTCGTTATTTTAATCTCCAGAATATAAGCATAACCTGCACGTTTTACTGTATTACTGAGATAATGATAAACCTAGCAGTCATTACCCGGGAGAGTCATTTTAACTCATGAAGAAATTTTGTGATGGTCATATTTTGAAATGCAAAATGAGCACAAAAGAGTGGAATCAGCAAGGAATAGAATATACAGGCATGTCGCCAAAACTCAAAATTGTATAGGAATGCAAGAAAATTAGACGGTTCATTCAAATTTAATAGAGAAATCGAGTGAAATAGGCAACCTAATATACTAGATATGGGTTAAAAGCCCTTATGTATTGCAATACTGCAATAAATATATGATTTATGATAGATATAACACTCTAGGGTACCAGGTTGTTCTATGGTATTAACTCAAATCTACTTTGCCTTATTAATTTGAAAGATTGGATCTGGCTTAGCTTACCCTAGTATTTCATATGAAATTCCTCTTTCAATCTAAATGGACTGTATTGTCCATTTAAATGGATTGTGATTAGGGATTCCCAAATGGAATCATAAATCAGAGTGAAAATAAAACAATAATGAAGAACAGACCAGGAGGATTCACTTTTCTCAAGAATTTATATAGTTTTTCACATTTTCGTGCATCTCTATGCAATTTTACATGATGATGTGGACTGCATACTTGTTTACTTTATTCCTTCCCTTGTTTACCCCATTTAGCATTTCAAGATAATACAGCTAGTATTTACTCTTAAAAAGCCAATATGAACAATGACAGAATGCATGTACAGATACATGTAAAACATTCAAAGCTATTTTCAATATCGAAGCGATTGAATAAAAATGGAAATAACAAAATAGGTGAAAACAACATGCGGAGCAGAAATTCCCAACTTAAACAAACCAACAACGCCATCGATAAACCAAATTATAGTTTCCACCAACTCCCATTCATCATCCAACGCCTTCAAAATTTTTTGAACATACCTCGTAGGTGTTACATCATTGCTTTGTATATCTGTCTGGGACGGCATCGAAGGCCATTTCTTCATGCTGCCTGTTGACATTCTGGGGACCACTCTATTGGGGGTGGGGGTGCCACGCCCAGTTGACGATAAGCTCTCTGTGGATCTGTTCATACTTTGTCTGGATGATGTTTTGCGAGGGTTGGATCGCATCATTGGGGATTTTGAGGGAAGGATATTATTTGGTAAAGCTGGAAGAGAAAATATGATTGTTATCTCATGGTGAATTGAAATGTTGCATAATAGAAAATATTTTAAGTCGTGAGAGTTCACTTTTAAGGAGTACAGATATACAATCCTAACAGAGAGACATTTGTATTACAGAGAGAGATATTCATTACATGGTGTTCCATTTGCAGAGGTATTCATTACATAGAGAGAGATGCTCATTACAATGAGAGGTATTTATTACAGAGATGGTCACAAGGGTCCAAAGCATTAGACTAAACATAGTGCCTCACTTATAAGCTAAAACAACGAGGATTCTCATTGTAAGGTATCGTATGAAAGGCTTACAAGTATCTGATACCTCATATAGACTGTATTGCTGGTACAATGTATTATATATTCTATTGTTTTTCTCAATGCAATCACATTAATCTAATCATACAAGTGCAACTTATTATATCAAGATGGATAATGATTTTATGACACCAAGCATTGTATTTCCTTATGAGCAAATACGAGCAAATGCTACCACATATTTTTAAAACTTGTTATACAGAAAAATTAGAAGAAAATAAAAGGGTCATGTACAAAGACTTATCTCTAAATCATATAGAAATGTAGGAAAATCAAGAAACTGATTTGTGTTTTAAGAGAGAGATGGCATGTCATCTGCATGATCATTGAAAGTTTATTCATGGCAAATGGTGAAACAATGGTTAGTGTAACCTAGACAACGTATTAGTAAAAACACACATGTTTAGTTGATAACAGATTTAGATAATATCCTCTACATACAATAAACATCACTGAACTTTCTATAGTTACTTTAGTTATTCAATAATATAAATAAACTGATTTTCAGTAGAAATGCAAATGTTTGGAATATTATGTAATTTGAGGGTTGATATCAATATGTGGATGTTATCGGTTGGTTGGGAGGAAGCTCATCTATTTTTCAAATGATCTACTCACACTTAGATCATGCAACCAATTTTTTAATGAATCTGTTTCATTGACATGTACAAGTATTTCTATATAATTTAGTTTAGGCTTGTTTTTATGTTATTTTAAGTTAAAGGGTATCACAATATTTTTGATGGGAGAAAACTCATCATTATCTACAGTTAAAATGTCCGTCTGCTCATGCTTATTTCACTCTATTTCTCTCTAAAATTTGATTAAAGTACCAAATTTTTCTCGTGTTTTACATAATTTAGGATGTTTACTTTGAATCAGTTTATTTTATTTCTTGCTAATTTCACTCTATTTTCTCATATTTGTGTTTTAAAATATGACACACATGATTCTATGTACTGGATTTGACATTTTACAAGTTCATCCTGACCTAGGTACATCACTAGAGTTGAGTTAGTAGTAATTTATAGCATGTTAGTAAACAAACTATTTCAGTATAATGCATTTCTACAGAAAATGGCTCTAACAGAATTAGAGCTCCCTTGATTCACACATTATTACTTATTGGTTATGATGTCTTATTCTTATCAAGGTTTGTGGGGGGGAAATGATGAACTCGCATATTATATCCAAATCAATTTCATAGAAAATTCCAAGTCTATACATAATTCAATACATGTACATATTGAAATTAACTTTATTTTTCTATAACAGATGATGATTTTACACCATTGTACACCATTTTTATCTGTTTTTTCTATTTTTCATAATCTAATACATTATATTTAGTAAATAGCAAAAATATACTTAAACGGAAGTGATTCCAAATTTTGATAAAACAACACATATATTGGGGCTCATGCCATATAACAGAATTTAATCGTCAAACTGTTGCCATCAAACTGTTGCAGCTTGGTATATAAGAATATTATTGACTTTGGCTTCTAGACTATGGTGTAGTAGCTGTGTGTGAAATTGTATTTGAGTAATGATTTGTGTTTTACAAATTACAATGAAGTCGCATTGGTTTCCGGTTGCACAATATGAAAAAGTTTCCCATTCATAAGATTATTTGAAAGCATGATTTTGAATGTTTTGATTGATCTTTTTCTTAATCCTAATTACGAAAACAGAAAGAAAACAGAAGACTGTAGTAAATACTCAGTTTGACTCTTAGACACTTATTAAAGCATATAATTTAATGAACACTATTTTGATAAGGTAGCTGGATTTTCATTGACCATAATCTCAGTATCTAAATTGGCAAAGGATTTGCTCTAACTCAGAGTGGAGATGAAGCTCTCTTTTAATAAATTCAAATAAACTATTGGGAATGGTATATGACTGTGAGACTCATCTTGGGATACACTGGGATACAGCTAATGTGGCTACAGCTGATGTGGCTACAGCTGGTATGGCTACAGCTGATGTGGCTACAGCTGGTATGGCTACAGCTGGTATGGCTACAGCTGATGTGGCTACAGCTGGTATGGCTACAGCTGATGTGGCTATAGCTGATATGGCTAAAGCTGATGTGGCTACAGCTGAGGTGGCTACATCAAGTTAATTGTAGGATCCAAGACAACAACAAAATACAAAAGTTGACAAAGATTACAAGCTTTTGGCCTCATCAACACATGTTGTTTCTATTACATCAATAATGGATGGATCACATTTGCTCTGATTTATCGGCCGGGCCTGGCCAATTACCCAAATGCGAGTAGGTAGTTACCAGTTTCACCACCAGGTGGCTGATTCGGGTCAATTAACATGGCAGGTATATAAGAAAGTTCCCTTAAACTTGAATATTATCAATTTAAGTGGCTCAATTCTCATATAACCCTTATGTGTCTGATACTTATACTAATGAAAATATGTCCAGTAAAGCAAAATATTATCTGTCCACTAAAAGAAAAGATATTTCATTTTTTGTGATTTTATAGCATGGGGTCTATGAGTAATCTCCCCGAGCTATAAGTCACATTTTCAAAGAAAATTAATTTTTCAAAGTTGATAAACACTTTTTAAAACCACATTTCAAGATGTAATTTTACATGTTGATTTCAAATATGATATTACTTTGACTGAACTTTGAATTTTTAATGACGTAAATCAAGATTATTTCTACTCGCATCTGGGTTATTGAGCATTTTGCTCAAAATTATATTCAGTTTTGAACAGTATACTAAATCTGCTAGGCACCAGCAGTTGAATTGGAGCAAATGTGACCAAAGGCGCATAAACCATGATTTGACAAGTCATGCAATCTCAAAAAGGGATTGCTTTTGTTTGCACAAAAACGTTATAGTGGATTTCATGTCGTCCTATTCACACTACTATACCCCCATACTGTATCCTGTATTCCTTTAAAAGAAGTACAGGCTACAGGGAAGTTGCAAATGGAGGACGTTTGTTTATTTCCATAGTTCTGAATGTATACTAGATTTTACACATATTCTAAGTGTTCTACTATACATTGTATAGATTCATCGAGCAGTTTGCAACGTATTATTATCAGAAAAGCCCAATGGACAAAGATAGAGAATACCCGCTCCATTTGCAACTTAACCGTACCCTGTATCATTTTTAAATGTGGTCACGTGGTAGGGTAGTGTGTATTGATTTATACAGGACCTCAATGTACAGATTGACAAGCCATTCAAACTGAATCCAAGGCCGTCTATATATGAACAGTTTAATCCACATAGAAAACACTGCACGGTTATAAAGATCTTTACAATGTGTAAAGGTCATTAAAAGGCAAACAATCCAGCGATACTAAGAGGCCATGTGATTTGGTGAAGAAAACTGTACTATTAAAAGGTACAATACAGAGTTAAAAGGAGACTAGAAAAAGCTCAGTTACAGCAGGTACAGTAGCATTATGGTATATCATTGTAATCTCTATCTACAATCACAAATTCAAATCCATTTGAAGAAATAAGTGAAACATCACAACACTTTAAATGGTAGTAATCATGATTAACAGAAGCCTAGATTTTATATCAGACTAGCTAAAAAATCTATATGAGAATAATTCTACTGCATGCTCTATTATAAACCCAGGACCTCTACTATCAGGATACTTATATGCCTGTTTTGGATTGATTTGTTTCAGTATGAAGCCATCATAGTCAACGGTCTGGTTTATAGAGGATGATGATTTCTACAATATTCAAGCTATGCTGCTTGTTGCCATGGATTACTGCAGCTTCAGAGGACAAACTTAACAGACCAAACATCATTCTGATTCTAGCTGATGATCTTGGCTGGAATGATGTCAGCTTCCATGGTTCTAATCAGATCCCAACGCCAAACATCGATGCTCTTGCCTACAGTGGTATAATTCTGAATAACTATTATGTCCAGCCAATATGTACACCGACCAGGAGTGCATTACTCACTGGCAGATATCCTATACACACTGGGCTACAACATGTTGTGATTCGTGGTGCTCAACCGTATGGGTTAGCTCTCGATGAAACCATCATACCACAGTACCTTAACCCAAAGGGCTATAAAAGTCATATCGTCGGGAAATGGCATCTTGGATTTTGCTCGTGGGAGTATACCCCGACGTATCGTGGATTTCATTCCCATTATGGGTACTTCCTGGGTGAGGAGGATTACTGGGATCACACTTCCTGGGCCGAGGGCGGGAAACTAAAAGGTTTGGATTTTCGACACAACAAGGAACTGATAAAAGATGCACTTGGTGAATATTCAACAGAACTCTTCACTCGTGAAACAGAAGCTATTATCAATAAACATAACACCAGCGAACCTTTATTCATGTATTTACCACATCAAGCAGTTCACAGTGGCAATACGGTCACCCCTCTTGAAGCCCCAAAAAAGTACACTGACAAACTTGGGAATATCCAGAACAAGAAAAGACGATTATTTGGTGGAGTGGTATCAGCACTCGATGACTCCATTGGCAATGTGACAAGAGCTTTACATAAGCGTGGAATGCTTAACAATACCATTATCATATTTTCAACTGATAACGGAGGTCCCGCAAATGGTTTCCAAGGCAATGTCGCATCTAACTGGCCTTTGAGGGGTACAAAGACCCAGCTGTGGGAAGGTGGGGTCCGTGGGGCAGGATTTGCTTGGAGCCCCTTGTTCAAGAAGCAGGGTTATGTCTCTGAACAGTTAATGCACGTTTCTGACTGGCTACCCACAATTCTCCATGCTGCAGGCGTGGATACAGATACAACCACTGAGAAACCTATAGATGGCGTTGATCAATTCGATACACTTTCCAATAATGAAGCATCCAATCGGAAGGAGATCTTACTAAATATTGACCCTCTTGACAATACTTCTGCTATTAGGATAGGGGACTATAAGGTCATATCTGGAGAGTTGTATAATGGCAAATGGAGTGGATGGTATCCCCCTTATAAGCTACCATATGGTGATCCCAATACTGACACATTGAACTCATTGGGATCAAATGACCATGACAAAGACAACAAGGACAATGAATTTGTCGTTAACATGCAACAACATAAAGATGATATGGAACAATTTAGTGATAATACCTTGGAAGTAAATGACAACATTCAGACCGGCAGAGAACCAAATGATCTTGCCGCCATTTTGGCTCAGTATACAAACACCCCTGCTAGGGAACCTTCTCCAGTGGTAGTAAAATGTGGTCCAAAACCAAGCAATGCTTCAACCAACTGTAAACCAGCAATTGCCCCTTGTTTGTATAACCTTGCCGTTGACCCTTGCGAGTACAACAACATAGCAGATAGTCACCCAGACATCCTAAAACAGCTTCTAGCAAAGATTGCCATGTATAATGCAACTATGGTAGCCCCGAGGAATAAGCCAGAAGATCCAGCTGGCTTTCCATCAAAACATGACTGGGCTTGGGTGCCATGGTTGAACCTAACTGACATTGACAACTAAGACATGAACTGCTTATTATATCAAGAGAGGGATGAGGTTGCTGACATTGAGGAGGCAAAAGAGGCAGAAAAGACTGTTCAATGAAGAGACAACTAAATCATTTGCTGTATAAAAGTGGCATTGTAAATAGATAAATGTAAATAATATCATCATTTTTTGCAAAAAAAATAGTTATGCAGTTTGCAGTAAAACCTGTCTAATCCAAATGCCCCTAGGATTGGATTTTCCAGGAAATTCTCACAATTTTCATCTAAATCTACACATAACAAGCTATCAAGATTTAGAGTCCCAGAGGCAAAGTTTCTTTACTACTTGATTGAGGCAAGTCAGACAAGACCCAAGCCTCACAACCCAGTTAAGCACATGTACCTTGGTGCAAAGAAAAGAACAATAAACTTACATCTTCCTGACTCTATCACCTGGAGCCGTCTGAGACAGTCAGAGAGTGCTGCCTTAAGGCATATAATCTCATCTTCTTGTTGGAGGACCCTCTTTTCCAGTCCACTCACTCTTTCTCTCACTTCTTCATTCTCATGGGACAGCATCCCATCTAAAATTACAAACAAATAAATATATGTTCATGTACATAAAAGTATGCCTGTATGTTCAGTTGTACATTGTAGATTTTCTTTGATGTTTCAGTTAAGTCCCCGGAAACATATTGAAATTACTACAACTATATCACCATTATTCATTTACTCTCTGTGTCTCTGTTACAGTCTAGAGCACTAATCCAATAATATTTAATTTTACACAAGGATAAATTACTTTTTTAGTCTGTACACTATTACAAGTATGATAAAACCTGTCTAATCTGATGGCCATTGGACAGTCCAAAAATGTTCAGATCGACATTAGGTATATTTTACATTTTAACAAATGGGACCAAAAAGTGTTCACATTGAGAGGTGTTCAGAGTAAAGTGTGTTTACTCCATTGGGCACTTTTCTCGTGGCTATGCACTCAACTGAACAAGCAAAGGTTTCACGAACAATTGTAGCATATGTATTACATCTAACTCAAAACATGTTGCAATAAACCTTTTTAAAGCTTTTAAGTGACAGTCCCACCATTCAGAATCAGGCCTTTCATTATGTAATTTAGTTTGCATTTTAATTTAATCACTTGGTCGTAATACTGAAATAACTGACCAGGCATGACAATCAACACACACTGTGAATTCAAGATGACCTTACATACCTGTTTTTTCATCCATTGTTAATTGATCAACACGTAATAGCCGTTATTTAAAATTATCTATCAGCAGGTATATCCAATTTATATTTAATCAACACCCATATGTAAAAATGAGACTCTATGATTCTCAAACTGAAATGCTGGTACATTTATTATAATCCTGTTGTATTATCCCTTCGTATTATCCATTTCCCGCAACAGGCAGATGAATATAATGCAATGAACGACCTGTGTTGTTATTAATTTGATGAAATCTATGTAATATGCAATTCACAACACTCTAAGCATGATTCTGAGCACTCTTCGAAATGCTCTCCTTGTTAGACTAAGGGTGTGTATGCTTCATACATAAATAGTTGCAATCTAGAAGGAATCCTGCTAAATATATTAAATCTGAACTATATATTCTCCCTTGAGCTTGGCCTTATTCTGGTATGCCAGTAGCAGCTTCAAAGCAGTAGGCCTCTCAAAGTAAATCATTCGTTTCTTAAGATTTTATTTGAAAAGTGAAAAGCTGACAAGGTTTTTTCTTTACTTTGAAAAATGAATTGTAAAATACTTAGCATTTAAAAAAGAAAAAACTTAAAAATATAAGAAAAAATATTTTTAAGACTAGAGATTTTTTCAGGCTCTGCTACACAGACATTTAAATCATAAGGGCCTTACTTGTAAACAAAATCCAATGAATGTCATGTTTTGTATAAATTCATAAGTTACAACCATACTTGAATAAAAAGATTAAAAGAAAATTTCATGACATGAATTCTTTTAATTATGTCAATCAAATGCTTCATATTTTTGAAGAAACACTTAAACGAATATGCCTGGAGATTATTTTGATTCTGGGAGCTTATCAATATAAGGGGTTCTTTATTAGGTGTCTACTATGAGATCCAAGGCATATCATGATACATTGTATTAGTCTTTTTTAAAGTTGTTCAAATAAAGTCTTAAAAAATATTTTCCAGAAGAAGACTTGCTACTGCCCGAATGACTAAAAAATGATAATTCAAACATTATATACTAATTACTAGTTACTTATTACATGGTAACTTTTGATACAGACCCCTCATTAGAAGCTCGGCAAGAATTCCATGTGATCCCAGCTAAACAGGATCTCAAACATGTTATATTATATTCTAATGACCCTCAGTAAAATATCTCAGAATATCTTGGAAAGGTTATTCTTTTGAAAATCTTCAAAAAATGCAACAAAAAATGGCACTCTGCAGAAGACTGTTCTTATTTATTGGAGCTTAGTTAAGATTTTATATACAGGATCTTGCTCATAACTTACAGTCTCCTGAGGATCTCTTTGAAAACATAGTTAAGGAAATGAGGGATATATTAATTTCAATCCAATTACTGGTACTCTGCATAAGACTGCAATAATGGGTCAAAGGAAAATAATCTAAAAGAGTGAGCGGCGGGATCAGTTCAAAAAATCAGAATCCATCAAAAATATACAATTACAATAATTTCAGTTTGACAAAGTCCTTATTTCTCTCTCAAAGTACAGGTGTTGATCGCCCAAAACAAACAAGAAAACACCGAAATCCTAATTTGGCTTTAAATACCCCCCCCAACATTCAAAATTATGTCTTTTAATAGGAGACCCCTTGATTTATTTGAGCAATTCTGAGCACTCGGAACAGTGTTATTCATTTGGTCAGGTGTGACCAAAATAAAAACAACAACAACATATTCAATTACAACTCTTAGAAAGGGAAATCCCCAATTAAATAGGGATTTAAAAATATACCACTTCAACACTCCTTTCAAATACTTTGATTTTGATTTTCTTTAAAAGAGGGCTTCATCTGCACCTAATGTGCTAGACTCTGACATGACACTCTGAGTGCCTCTTAAAATAAATTCAAAATAAAGTTCTCACTCGAGATTCTCAGGGTTATAAACATCCAATGCATAGTCAATATAAAGGACATGTTCTTATAAGGCAATAAAAAGGACATGTTCTTATAAGGCAATATAAAAGGCCATGTTCTTATAAGGCAATATAAAAGGACATGTTCTTATAAGGCAATATAAAAGGACATGTTCTTATAAGGCAATATAAAAGGAAATGTTCTTATGAGGCAATATAAAAGGACATGTTCTTATAAGGCAATCTAGTTCACATCAAAATGTAATCATTTCTAGAGGCTGTCCATGAGACTCTTGTTCATTGTGAAAATAAAAAAACAAACATTTTATTATTAATCATGCATTTTATATTTAACAAGTGTGATTTTAAAAATATTAGATCTTTAAATTGCCACACTCAACCATTCCAGCGCTGTTCCACTCATAGAAATCGACAACAAAAACACATCTAAGCAACAAATATGTTACTGTCAGCTGATGAAAAAATAATAATACACCAAATGTTCTATGTAAATTCTATGTAAATTAATAGCATTGCTTCTCACTCCCACCAATAAAACATTTTACTAATACAACAAAAAGACAACATAAATTATAGGCATTGTGTCATCATAGTAGTTCTAATCTATACACTGAGTTTTGAACAGTAGGCAATATATTGAGACACACCAAACCACAAAATCATATCTGAACCAAAAAGTACCACTGAAAGTACAAATTGGTAAAGTAAATATGTGTTCTTTATTGGTACCAAAAGAGTGTCAAGTGGTACTGTTCGGTATTTTTAGCCTTCAATCAGTTACTAGGTAACCAATTATTCCAAAACAAAGTGGAACAAAATATAAGCCAGAAAATTCTGTAGTTTAGCCAAACTGATGGAAACACAAGGACTGAATACCAAAATGGCCCCCTCCCCTTGTGCTGTGCCCCTCCTAGCTCTAGAATGAGTAAAGTAAATGTTTTGCAACCCCTACCATGATCATTGGCTTCAAGAATGTAATCTATTTAAACACTAGTTTAGGAAATCCCAACATATGTATTAAACAAATGTACAGTACATCATGACCCACTAATGATGATAACATAAAACAGATAGTCTTAAATCAAGTCTGTGTTAAATAATCCCCTCCCCCACTTACTCTCTTTCTGGAAATATCTGGATGAATCATAAAGTACTTATGGTACAATGGGTATAATAAGTCGTTTAGTCTGAGGCACAGAACCTCGGTCTAATAGCTCGAGAATCTTTGCTTCTCTTTTAAAATGTGTAGTGTTGATTTTGACAAAATTAAGATTATTACAAATGATCTTGATTCATAATTTACCCAGTCCTTAAAAAATCTGATGAACGCATTATAATAAAAGAGAGAAACTAGGGGACACTTGGACTTGATATTAAGACTACAGTTATGACGATGAACTAAAATTTCAGCGTGACATACAAAAAAACAATAAGATGATGCGGCAAAACAAAGCTATTGACGATAAGATCATTACCTCTCAGCATATCCACCTTCTCAGTCATGTTTACGCTATAACGAGGAGAAAATTTTGTAGAATTAGAACTATCGCTGGAATATCCATTGCATTGTGGGATATTGCTATCCATTTTGTAAATCCAGTTATATAATATAAGAATAACTACGCCAAGTATCTCTGTTATGATTCTTGAGCATGTCGTAAAAATTCTCCTGACATTTATTGTTTGTACTTTATCAATAATTTCATATCCGCCGGTTGAGCAAAAATCATTTGGAGCCTATGTCTGCCCAAGAGATGCAAAGTACCACTGGTTTTTGCAACACATATTGTTATATTGAATCCTAGTCTCTTTTAGTTCTGTATCAAAAATACATGAAAATTGGCCTCTCTTATGCCCCTATCTTAATTACAAGGCTTGCATAAACATGGTATCTTTTCTCAAGTATATTGTTAGGCCAAGTTATCATCATGAATCCTACATGTTGTAGACAATTGTATCAACGAAATAGTCCAGATGGTCATGTTTTTAAATGTAAAATTAAGTACAAAAGATTGAAATTAGCAAGGAATAAAATATACAGGTATGTAGCCGACAATCTAAATTGTAAGAAAATACCGTAATTTGGGATTCTTTATTCAAATTTTGAAGAGAATTTGAGCAAAATAAAATGACGAGAGGGAAATTTTGAACATGGACAGTGCCCACGCCAAGAATAACATCATAATCATATGTTTAGATTCAAACAAGTCTCTCAAAAAGTATCAAGTTACATTTATATAGATACTTAAGACAATAAATTATACATTTAAATATACTGTCTTTTTTTCAATTGTTCTTTTGCCATAAAATTACACTTGATTTCCATGAAAAAACAAAAAAATTTACGAAATTTTATTTGAGGGTATTATTGATTTGTGATTGATTGGTGATTCGTTATATATAATCACCTATCCATTTTGGTTAATTGCAATTCTCATATAATTATTTCATTTCATTAGGACTTGAGATTGATCTTTAAATTAGTCGGATCAGAGAAACAGCTCACCGATTGACTAAGATTGCATGCAATCTTTACAAAATCCAGAATAACATTTAAATGGCTTGATAACCAAACCTTGCAATAGCAAAAAACATCTTGAATTCCTTATTTAGTTCAGATGATTTTGCATCTTGATTCATTAATATTTTTCATATTTACTGAGGCAATATGCTGGTAGGATGATTTAATGCAGATGTTACGTTTCCTCAAATTTTAATTTTGCCAGTCTCTTACTACCTTTAGGCGTTTCCTCAGAATACAAACTTATATATAAGATGTATGTATGTAACCATGCATGTTGATGCATGTTGATCTACATTTTTTTTCAGAATTTTCAATCCTTATTTTCAATAATAGGATCTTCTTTAGTTAATCCTAAGTTTACTCTCACTTGTATATTTTGAATATCCAGAACTTCAGGTTTTTCACTTTTGAGGCTAAAATAACTTCTACTGCTCTCCTATCGGACTCTACTATTACAGCTTACTGAAATGTTTGATGCAATTACCCTAGTTCTTTATTATCTGATAATAGCATTGTAATTGTTTTCCATTTCCAAAGTTTTTCTGTGCCATACTTTTTCTGTGCATATGTTTAATGTTATTTTAGTTCTACCAGCTAGCTATTGTGAAAAATAGAATAGATGAAATAAAAATTTCAGAAAACCTACAGATGGAATCCCAAGGTAAGTACTCTTTAAACAAAAATATATTACAAAACATGGGAATTACTGTTGAATAAAATAAACCCTATGTAACTCACAAGATTTAACTATCTAAAAATATGATGAAAAACATGGAATTTTTTTAAAAGAAGAGAATTTGTGCCAAATAACAGACTTTATGTTAGATTTAAAATACAGGAGTTTTCTTTACATTTTGCATTAATTTTAGACCATCGAGGGTTATCAGAGTTGAACAATGTTTGAAATTGAACCAAAGTTTATTTACTGTAATGTGAGACTAATCCATTTCTCTATAGGTTTCAACAGCAAACTATTGTACAATGTATGTTTTTTTAAATCCATGAACCTGCTTTGACATAAAAGTGAAAGTTATATGAAAATATTGAATACACAGAGATAAATATTGGTTTATTTTAGGTTACCTTTTGTTTATTCTAGGTCACGAAATATAAATAAATTAAATCAATTACTTGACATAATCAATTAAATAATATATATATAGTATATTCAATGAGGATTAGAGTTCTTGTGACAGAACATGTAAAACAATAAAGATATAGAACAAAGGTTATTATACAGGGTGGCTCAAAGGAAGGTTTACTGAAGATATTGTTGAATAACTATAAACATACTTTTGGGGCACCCTATCAATTAGATTTGGCCATATATAGCCCCCTCCCCTCACCCCCATTTATAACTTAAAATATCCTAGATATCTCAATTATTTCTGACTGCCCGCATGCTGCAGGTGTAGAAGTAACTATTAAATGTGCCTCATTATTTAAGTTGTAATTAATTTTGCAAGCTCATGAAAACCTCGCTTATAAGTGAGGGTTACTTTAAGTATGTTAAAGGGATGAGGGAATGTAAATTATAAGAAGCCATCTTTCAAAATACATGCCAATAATTCTCTTTCTATCTTATTGTTACTTTCTGAAAAAGCAGAATTAAGATATCTGATTAAATGTAGAAATTATTGAAGAATAAAGATGCAGAAATGTGCAAATTTTGGGACATCAACACTTTTAACATGAAAATTAAAGAATTGTGTTTAAAAGACAGAACTGTTAGAGTTTTTAAAAACTTATTTTCACCTCCTCTTTATCATTCCTTTTTTCATTAGACAAAACATTCGACAGATTTCACCTCATAAACTAAAACATAAATGTTATAATTTAATAACCTCGAGCAGAACATTTATTTCCCTCATCTATACAAATTTTAAGTGAGCTTTTGATTTTTTTCTTTTATTGCAACTGATGGTAAAATAATTTTGTATTAATTATCTTATTAATTAAGAATATTTTATGAGAATATTAGTACAATAACGTCATTTCTAAGGGCATAATAGTGAAATATTGGACCGAGCTATATAAGCTATATTGCTCGCAGAAATGACGTTATTAGTATTATTACCACCGTTAACGACCAGGACTGAAACAGCAAGAAAATCTTACGCATTGAACGATATCTAATTTCCCGGGGAAAATTGCTGGTCCAGAATATATTCTAGACCGGTCCATATGGACCACCACTATGACGTCACACATTTCTCAGGTCGATATAGTAAAATGAACGCCTTCTAAACTAGCACTAAAACCCCTAGAACTGGCCCGGCAAGGTGGTAATAATATACTGTAGTGAACATATGTATAAATCCATACAACTACACCAAATGAACAATTACATTATTTATGTGTACAATATTAAATAAATAAAGTGTTTTCTTTACAAATATGCTCTGAATCCATTTTTCTTTACAAATATGCTCTGAATCCCTTCACCTTTATATTACAAATGGTACTTTAATTTCTTGCAATATATATCACAATTATATAACTTTACATATCTATGGTTGGATTGAGTATAGAAAATATTTGTGTTCAATCTTTTTGAAAAATGCAAGTGTTTGCTTTCTAAATATGCTCCAAATCCCTTCTCCATTTTTAAGAATTGTTCAACATTGTTCAACATTTGTTTTCGAGAATTGGTCATCACTGTCCAACATTTGTTCTCTATATTACAAAATTGTCAACATTGTTGAACATTTGTTTTCCAAAATTGGTCAACATTGTCCAACATTTGGTCTCTGTTGTTACGAAATTGTCAACACTGTTCAACATTTTTTCTCCATTGTTAATAATTGGTCAACATTGTTTAACATTTTTGTTTCCATTGTTAATAATTGGTCAACATTGTTCAACATTTTGTCTTCATTGTTATTAAGTTGTCAACATTACTCAACATTTATTTTTCCATTGTTAAGAATTGGTTAACATTGTTCAACAATTGTTCTCCATTGTAAAGAAATTGTCAACACTGTTCAACGTTTGTTCTCCATTGTTAAGAATTGGTCAACATTGTTTAACATTTTTGTTTCCATTGTTAAGAATGGGTCTATCAGTTATCACACGTTTCAGCATGTGATACAGGAAATATTCCACGAAAGGTAATATTGTATCATCCACGAAAGCGAAGCTTGAGTGGTGATACATTCTTACCCGAGTGGAATATTTCCTGTATCACATAAGCTGAAATGTGTGATGACGATTTTATCACATGTCTTGGAATGTTGAATTGAAGCATTTTGATGTGATCATTATGATTGTGTTCGGTACTCTGTACTCCCGGTGACTATTATAATTCTGTGTGTATTGAAAGTTTGCTTTGAAATAATATGATGTCATACTGTTGTATTCGTGCTTGTTAGTGAAATAATATGACGGCATATTGTTTTCTTTAGCTACGAAGTGACATAACCAGTGACGTCATATCGTTACTATTGACTCCGTAGTAATACAACCCACCGTATCACATAAAATTTAGTCACGTGTCATGTGATACGGTATATACGTTGTCACAATTGACCAATCAAAATGCTTAGAAACTCCTAACCATGTGATAAAACATTGTTCAACATTTTGTCTTCATTGTTATTAAGTTGTCAACATTACTCAACATTTATTTTTCCATTGTTAAGAATTGATCATCACTGTTCAACTTTTGTTCTCCATTGTCATAAAATTGTTAACACTGTTCAACATTTATTCTCCATCGTTAAGAATTGGTCATCATTGTTCAACGTTTGTTCTCCATTCTTAAGAATTGGTCACCATTGTCTAACATTTGTTCTCTATTGTTAAGAATTGGTAAACATTGTTTAACATTTGTTCTTCATTGTAAAGAATTGTAAGGCAGAAGCTTTGCCACATGCAACAAGGAAGTCTTGATCTTTTACATCTAGTCCAATCATAACATCTGTTGTTTTTATATAGTCTGTGTTTATTCCTATTGTCCTCTTCACATCAGTATTCTTCATATATAGCTGTTTCAAGTTCATTTCAATCATAGCCTGAAAGGCGGAGAGATATCCACCAATTGTGTCAGTGCCATCCTGGACTGACATATTATGCATGTAGCACATGAAATCCACGCTTTTCTTCTCCATATATGCAATAAATTCACCGAATGTTACCTCTCCATTTCCATCAGTATCCATTTCTTGAAATATGGTCTTCAGAGGGGTGTCACCAAAGAGAGCCTTGGCATGACGTACCTTGAAGGCACTGTCCTCTAAAGCTTCATGTAGCTCTCTGATGTTGAATGTGTTACTACTATCCACATCTTTGCTTCGTAGGACCATCCAGAAATTCTTAGCAGCTTCAAAGATGTTGATTCTTTCTTGCTCTCTCGCTTTATAAGCATCAATGATTTTGCCATTCTTTCTGGAAAGTTCAGTGTTTGGGCGTGTAATGGGAATAGACCTTTCTTCAAGGTCTTGCTTCATGAATTCAGATTCATCACCAGAATACAAGATAAGTCCAAGTGTTTTTTCATTGTTTCCCCCAAATGTGTCTTCTCTGTTTGTGCTAGACATATCTTCAAGTTTCCTGAAGAAACTGTCCTTTGGATCCATTGATAGGTACCAACCATCAAAGCAGTGTATCGGGTAGTTGCAGAGTACTCCACCATCTATGTAACAATGATTCAAACCACGCTTTTTCACCACTGTTGGTTGAACGAAAGCAGGTAATGCAATAGACATTCTAACGGCGAGAGCTATAGATACATTAGGTGTTGTTTTTGGATGGAAATATTCCACGCTCATTGTGGTCAAATTCGTTACAATAATGCACAACTCTTTCCCCGTCTTTTGATACAGTTCTGAAAATGTAAGCTTGCCATTCCCAAGTTTTTCATTGATGTAAACTTCAAATTGGTTCTCAACTTTTTTGCAAGGATGCCAGCCTTGGTGGTTGATAAGGTTCCAGGGTAAGGAGAATTTCCCGAGTGACGCATCTTGAAAAAAGTCCATATTTTTCATGTCCCTCCTAACGATGACCTCCAACTCCGAAGCTGAGAATCCAACAGCTAAGAGAGTTGCCAACATAGCACCGGCACTTGCTCCAGCAAATCTCTTTAAGTTCTTAGTGATACCCAAATCCTCTAGAAGAGTTATTGTACCACAGTAGGCCAGACCTTTAGTACCCCCTCCTTCCAAGACAAGATTCTCATAGTCATAGTTTTTCTTTTTAAGTTCTTGCAACTTCTCAGCATATTCACGCTCCAACTGAGGAATATTGTAAGATGAGGATTGTTTATCACCATTCCTTGATTCAATATGCTCTTCGCCTCCATCGATATTATCGAATTGCTTAGAGTTGGATCCACCCATGTTGAGCTCCTGATGTTGCAGTAATAATACTGAAGGCCTGTTTTTGATTCACCCGAAATGCATCATACAGTTTCAGCTATTTTACGAGGTTATTTTCAATAAATTGCCTGACTTTAAACTTCAATAAATTTTAGGTTATAATGAATGCTTTCACAGGTTCAGTAATTCTATAGTAAAATAACTATAGTGGCAGTTTCAGCTGTGCAGGTGATCGCAAAATGAATGTTGACTGATGGTTTATATGCTATATTCTACATTTGGAATTATAGATCCAAATGCCCTGGTTTGTCCTGGCATTACTAGTAAGTCCTGGCATATGTTTTGAGAATTCCAAAACTGTTTTATGATATATAAAACACTTGTAAAGAGATACAATTGTTAAAACTGTATAGACAAGAGCAATCCATTTAAATTTCGCCACATAATGGTTATGATGTCATTGGAAGATCAAAATTTATTGGAATAGACGAAATAATAATTCCACCTGCATCTCAAGTATTACATTTTAGACTTTGAGTACATAATTATTGGCCAATTTTTCTCATCACAAAAACTTTATTCTTGTCATTTTTACTTGCATACATTATTAATAATCTTTGATATTTAGAGCATATTTTAAATGACAGTTCAACAGACAAACTGACAAAGATCCCTCGTGGATCCTACAGGATCACTGTGTTAACCAAAAACAACTTTCTATGATTCTTTCTAATTTATTCCAGTATACATGTATAAGTCATAGATTTTATAATTCTCCTTTTCGCGCTTCACTCTTTGAATCAGAACGTTCGCAAATATGCACTGAAAAAGCACTCAAAAAGGACAAAATTTGATTGGTCAATATTTTCCCACTATGCATTTCGCATAGCTATTTGCGTGACACGAAAGTTCTCAATCAAACTAATTACTCAATTTTGTTTTTACACCCGCACGCTAAATAAAACAATGACACCATCGTAAGTATTCTTCTTTGTCATTGCTTTAATGGTCAGTATACCGAGTTTAATCAATAAAAGATTGTACAATGAACAACAAAATCCGGAAACGAGTACTATAGATTTGCTTTCGGACCACTGAACAGATTGACCTAGATAATAGCGAAGCGTCTTCTTTGGTCTACTGCTCAGTTGTTTGTGGGTTTTCGACGTAATTCTATAATGTAATTTGAAGATGAATACTTTTATTCAGTTGTTGCATCGATGTCGCAGTTTGTAGTGCGGTAAGATTGGCATGAAAGTATTAAAAGTCGAATGGAATTATTTTTTCCAATATGGCGACTAGTCTACTGATCACGTGACCTTCTCTTCCAGAATGTTTTCTCACTTTTCAATCATCGTTTTCACCATGCTATGAATTAATACAATGAAAAAATAGCTGTTATATTAAGATTAATGAGAGATCAATCGTTTCTAATAATTTTTTCTGTACTCTCGTACGGGTATATGAACGAATATATCATTTGAAAAATAGGTGTGAAAATCCCCATGTTAAACCTATGAGGGAAAATAAGGAAGTATAAATTTGTTCCTCCGCGAACTGCATCACGGGAATTTTTTTGCCCTTATAGGGAAAGATTTTCGTGTCTTCTCTTTTGAAGAGGGAACAACGATTTCGAGAATTGTAGGCAATAGGTAATTTTCTCATATAATTTTCACTAAAATAACCTGTTGTTTTGAAGAATTTTGCAAATATTTGCACATAAATATATTAAAATTTCTCATAAATTTTCCTGTTCCTTCACTTTGCCTATTGTCAACAAAGCCAATGAGCTTGATCCTAAGTATGAAAATCAATGTTACTTATAATGGAGATATTACTTTCATTTTTTGTCATAATATTTTCTTATTTGGGTAAGAACCATAATGAAAATGTTAAAATGGCACTCAAAACTTACAAGTATGATCTAGAATAGTAAGAAAACATATTTTAAATGTACAAAATGCTTTGAAAATCTTTCATTGAAGAAACTCATAGCCTGGTGCCAGAGGTGAAGAAACTTCGGATTGAACCCCAAACAAGCTCTTAAGTGTAAATAGAATTTACTTAAGCAATTGGGGAGATCCTTCATATTTTTCTAGCTTTGTGTTTCTGGAGTTCACTATATAAAATATTGACCTTTCAATTGAGAGCTTGCCTTAGGTTAATATTTAGATTTATCTAAATAGAAATACTACTTTTGTGAACTGAAGGGATTTAACGTAAAATGCTACATTCATTCAAACTGTTATTTTATTGAACTGGCTTATTCTCAACATTTACGAATTTTCATACATCTAATAAAAGTTTCGATCAACTGTAAATTTCTGACTTTAAGCTTATATTATATTATAGAAATTCTAGCATATTCAACTGAAATGACGCCACATAAATTCAAACTTATACTATATATTGATTAAAGGTTATAACAGTGGCGTAGCGTGGGTATTTTTGAGGGTACGCCACAAGGGAGCGAAGCGAACGACTTTTGAGGGGGGTTCGGGGGTGGGTCCTCCTCCAAGAAAATTTGAAAATGAGATTGCAGTTGAAGCGTTCTAGGGCGTTTTAAAATACGAAATTCCGACGAAATGGACTAATGACATTTAAATTATTGGTCATTTTATCCATTTTTAAAGTGTGAGGCAATTCAATCTAAAAATCAACTTTTCTCTAAATTTTGAGAGTACGCCATGGCGTTTTATGCGTATATGACGCTACGCCATTGTATAAGAAGCAAGTGATACTTGCAGTTTTTGAATACCAAACCCAAGTCACAATCTCATAAAGTATAATATTGAGTTCATCATTTTGATCTATCATTTCACATTATTAATTTGATCAATATTTCCTTGGACTTTTGAGGCTTGTCGTAATGACTTAAACATCATTAGCAGTTTTAGATATAAGATTAAAGTTGTGATTTTTTATTTATTTTATTCATCAAAAACAATCATAACATTTATACAAGTTTGTGGTTGTCACATTAACAGCTTAACTCTAATAACAGAATGTTTAAAATTATTCTTGAACTCTTGTGGCTTGACCTACCGACCTAAATGCATTTTTAGTATTATTAAGATATTTCATTATCAAATTTTTAAAGAAAATTTTTTTTCAACATTTATGAGGGTTTAGACTAAGTATAATCTTTAAAATATTGCCACGTGCACTTTCAAATCTTTTTTATTAAACATGTCATGTTCAACCACTTAGGGGTTAACTTCATATTATGCGATCAATGTATTTTAGTACTACCAGGTCAAGTTGACTTGTAAACTACAAATTACAACTCCTCAAAGCCTTTACAGAAGCTAAAATGAAAACTAGACCACCAACTTTAAAAATCCATACCAAATTTTTAATGTAAATTTAAGTAAATCTTTCATGAACACGGAAAACATTTGTTGGTAGATGGTCACTACAGAAAGGGTAATTTATACAGAAGTCAGTAGAGTATGTGCGGAATGATGTCTACTACAGACAGATGTTCACTAGAGAGAAGTGTTCACTAAGACAGATTTTACTGTATATGTACTTTATTAAACATGACTGAAATCAGATTTTGAGCGTGAGTGCAGACACGTTTTATAACGAACCTGCCAAAGATGTCATAACGCTCGATTTAACATTTTTGATCTGATTTCTTTGTATCTAGACTACTTGCAGTATTCAAGGACAGGAAAAGACGGTTTAAATCAAAATATTGGGGCGACCCAAGATGACATCAGTTATAAGAAGAAAATGTCATTCATAGACCTTATTACTCAAAAATAGAATTCATCAGATTTCAAATAACGACTTTTTTAATTTTCTTCAATAGTACACCTTGAAAACCCTTTAACCATTTTATTTACTATGAGACCCTAAAACTCTTAGATAGGCTCGAGATATCAAGATTATCTGATGGTAATGTTTTATTCAATGCAGTTACATAATATGCTTACTACAAACACATCTTTGGATTCAAGATTAAAGGTGCAACAAGTAGTGCAGAGGGGCCATTCAACGATCATGGACCAGTGTCAAAATATATTTAAGTTTGGATATTTCATCAAGACTAACATCTATTTTTATTTTCTACAAAGAAACCCCTTAGATAATCATTATTCCAGCTTATATTCCTCTTGAAACATGGTGGATCTTAAAAATATATAAAAAGTGAACGTCCCCTTTTTGAAGCTTTGAACTGAGTTTACACCTTTTAATGCCAAAATTGATAGTTTATCCATACATTTTAAGAAAATAGGTATGTCGAAGAAGATGTTAAGCTAAACTGTTGCCTTGATAGCTCAGAAAAAGTTAAAATTTTCCTATTTTCTCTCTACAAGCCTTATTGCCCCTTTAAGTATGAGACAAACCTGAAGATGTGAATTCATACAATTCCAGAAATTATACCAACATTTCGAGATTTTTAAAATTTGAGGTGGATTAAATTTTCTCTTATATATCTCAAGATTGTTTTAAATTCATTGTTAAAGATTTATCATAGGATACTAAATTTATCCTCAATTTCATCATTACTATATTAAACCCCTACATATTTATCAAGATAATTCATTCATATAATTTTTAGGAATCATAGGAGTCGACAGGCCATTGTGACTTTATAACCCTCTATATCAACTTGGTATAATTTACACCAATAATATATGATAGCAGTCTCGTAGAAGCTTTTGATTTATAACTCTTAAAATAACACTCTTACAGTTTACAATGTCAAAGTCATGTTAAATTCTTACAGTATAGTCTGCTAAAACAATGAACACATATCAGAGTTCCCATATTAAGATTACATTGAATTTGATGCGATAATCAATTCAGATATGAAATAAAGCATTCTGTAGACTTCAAATTCATCAATGTTTGATAGGGTAGATAAGTCAACATTCAAAAATAGATTAAATATAATATTGTATTAAAAGGGCAGAAACAGATAACACGGGTTAGAGTATTTTTAAGAATTTGAAGTGATTGTAATTCATGTAAAAGCCATGTTTTTCTATATTTATACTAGTTCAGTGTTTCATGTATTAACGGTTTCTTTACATCTTACCCACATCAAAAAATACACAATAACAAAGTTTCAAATTTCTCTGCAAAAATACTTGAAAGCAGTTAATTCTAAAAAACAAGAATAAATTTAGATGTTAAAAGTCAGGTCATGTCAATTTAAAATATAAAAACATATGATTACAGATGACTTTTGAGATTTTATGTACCAGAAACTAACATTTTTATTGTTACGGTTATTTGTATAATAAAGGTGTGGTGAGCTGGTCAACATGCCTAAAAGACCTCAATTGACATTTAACTATGTTCAAGTTTCAATATGTTCACCTTACCACAAGTTCATAGTTTATTATACCTTAAGAAAGTTTACATAGCTTTGTAACAAAATATTGATGAAAGGAAGTGTGACGAGATATGTTCTGTAAAGATGTAGCGTGAGAATATTGAGTTTCTAAAAGAATATAATTATTGAAAATACTTCGATAATTATACATCAAGATCAAATCATTTGACGATGAGACTTGCGGTTTGAAGTGCATGTACAAATGTAGTCTTGAAATGTGTATAACAGCTTCTTTTAAAATCATGTACATACTGTGCTATGTCGCCAATCATCATATACGTTAACAATGCTACACCTCAACCTATATTATCGCTGAGACCGAGTTTCAGCAATGAAATTAACAATAAAGAAATGTTGGCTTGAATAAAATTAAGTATAAATCCAAGGATGGGCCTGCACGATTGGGGAATTGAACTGATATATGACACCTGCAGATTCTATTATTGTTTTGTGGCCCACATTGCAAGATTAATTCTAAATATATTATGTCATGCATCTGAGGCCATGTATGCCTTTTTAGTAATTTTATCAGCAGCCAATGATAAATTCGAATTTCAAGAAACATACATGTATTACTTTACTATAATAATATTGCTTTTATGTTATATTGATATACAAACAGACCTGAACATCCAACATACATTTTTAATAGACAGTTATAAAGACCTCGTCAATATTGAATAGATCAGTCATACTTCGTAATTTGCCGTGCATAATGCTAACCATGCTATAGTCCTGCATCAGGGTTCTTGGCTTGAAATAAGATTAATCTTCTAACAGATATCAAATGTTTTGCTGACTTACAACAACGACAAAACCCAATTTGAAATGGACTGTAGGGTCGCCTCACAAATTGCAATCATAATGATTCAATTGATTGGCATAGGGATGATATATCTTCTCCAGAAAGCCTGTTACATAACTAGAATACAATCACTGGCAGACAAACTGACATAGAAATAGTCTTCTAGACCTACAAAGCCGGAAGTTATCATTCAATTGAAAATTTCAATGAAATCAATCTTTGCACAGGTGAGTTTTTGCAGGTTCACCGGCGAATCAAAGGTGCACAAGTAATTATACATTACAGAATGATAGCTCAACTTATTTCCAGTGTTGCTGTATATAGAAGAATATTGACAAATGTATATGAAACCGGTAAATAACGTTCAGCTTACCTAGTCCATTTTCTTGTTCCATTTTCTCAAATTTTGGAACTGCACAAACATTGATGACGTTGCAAATAATGTGCAGGAGAAATAGAAACGTTATTTCAACCCTACTAATTAGAACTGATTTTCACATAACATTTGGCAAGAATGCTTCAAAATTCTAATCGGGGGATACTTGTAGCTGATATAAATTAAAGAATACCAGTATTCAAGGAGAAAACCAGTATAGTAGTTTATTACACGGTTTCTGATGACGATACACTTTATGTGTTTTATGGCGGCGCGAAATCTAAATTTCCATATCAATTCGATATTCTTAGCTCCATCATCGTTCAGGTAAGTATTATCAACATTATAAACGTTGTTCATCATATTTTTAATATTTCCATCCACGATTTTATGATATAATAATGTTCTATCTATTCAATACTGACTCGAATTCCCATTAAATCTCAAAATTGAAAATTTCTTGAAACAAAAAATTAAATTTTATTTTTAAAATAGCAAAATCAATTAAAAATTCGAATCCAAATGGTCCGAAACACATTTGTCCAAAGTCCATTCGACCGAAATCCAATAGTCAGAATCCCATTGGTCCAAATCCCATTGGTCTGAATCCCATCCAAGGCCTATACCTGCCATGTGATCTGACCCGAATTAGCCACCTGAGGTGAAACTGGTTACTCCATTCTGACTGCTCTTTCAGTTGTTCATTCTGACAAAATGTTCCGATATCCAAATGTGCCATCTTTTAATTGAGAGAAAAATCTTACACATGTTTTCAGAAGCTGGGAGTTTGATGCTAAGTCTATATATGCAAGTGCGATTAGCATTCTGATTTATCAGAGTCCCTCTTTACCTAACGTTTTTGAGAGAACTATTCCAAAAGGATAGTAAAGGCTGTGGATCCCACAATGAGTGATTAGTGGTATACGAAAAACAACTTAAATCATTCTTCAAAAGTTCACACAAAACATTTGTACCCATGAACATGATTATTGACATGAAACAATGTACATTATATTTTCAGATTGTTGGAAATTTTGTTTATAAGTCAAAACCATGGATCATCCTTACAACCTTTTGGACAGTACAAAAGACTATGATGATGCAGCTGTGCATAATGTTGATGAACTTCTAGGTGAATGGCAGGGCACTATAGGTGCTATAGAGGAGGTGAATCCACTCACGAAAAAAATCTGCTTTGATGTGCATAACTGTTACCCTGACCTCTCAAGGTCTGGGGTAAGTGTATTATTTATTATGTAGTTTATGAATTCAGGATGATTTATAGGGTTCATTGTTTTTGTTCAGATGTTGATCATTGTTATTTTCGATTACTCATATTGGAACTAAGAGAAAATTGCAATTATAGAAAATATATCAATTAATGTTGCAAACAGGGAGTTTTTTTCATAGAACACACTTTAACTTATTTTGCTTTTTCTGGGTGTATTAAAAGGGAAAATCGAAGAGAATTGTCCATTGATCCAAAATTTCAAAATAATTTTTTAGGGTTTGTGACCTTTAAAATGGCTGCTCATAAAGACAACCAATTTGTACAGTACTTACTGGTTTGTATTTCATAGGTTATATTGCTCACTGTTAGGGATCCTTTAAGTTTAGCAGTACATTTTTTCTGATTTGGATCTCGAAGAAGCTGATTTTAGGTACAAACACTGTGCGCGAAATAGACGTCCGACATCGGCCATTGGCCTGACAAAATTATAGATGGCTTGTTTTGATAAAAAACCCAGACATTTTGGCCTGCCAGACATTTGTGGCATTCGTTAGATTGCCCATGAATAGAACCCACATTTCAGTCCGGAAATCCTCCGAATTCCCCGCGATTTCGGCTTATTCCATGACTTTTGTTGAAGATTTAAAAAATTCAAATATTTTTGTTTTCATACTGAAGCCCAAGATATAACGTGACTTTTGATTGGCTGTTGTTGTTTGTTGAAATTACGGTGATTTTGATTGGCTATGGATGACTCATTTCTTCATCGTCGTTTGCAAATCGAGTGCATTATCAGTATGCCGGATGTAGAAAAGAAATTGAAAAATCGAGCCGGCATATAAGTCCAAAAAGTCGGCAGTTTGGAAGTATTTTGGGACTCCGATATCACAAGGTAAACGAATTGGTGATAGTTCACCATGCAGACTATGTGAAATGCCGATCACATTCACGGCAGATGCTTTATATTCGATTTTAATTGACGTATTTCTGAATATGATTTTGAAAAGTGAAACTGAAAGTGAAACTGTCATCATCAGACATTGTATCATTTTTAATGTTCTGTCCCGTCCTGTCTCGAAAGTATCGTGTCCCGAGACCATTTGTACCGTTCCGTACCGTACCGAAATTTATTTGGACCGTGACACCTCTAATATATACCTTGAATTTTAGTCTGTTAGTGGAGTCTGTGTACATAGTATGTGTTTTTGAATACCTTGAAGCTTCTGAGAGCAATTCTAAACCGACCAAAATCAGTACAATTTAGTTTGATCAATATGTACATGTTCCTCATGTTTTTGTAAGGTGAATCTAGGGGGGAATCAACACACCCAGGCTGTTGGTTAAGTCATCAAGTACAGTATACAGTCTGGCAAATAAGGATTTTTTCGCTGTAGCCAAATTTGTCCAGAGACATAAAAACACTCTGGCCAAAAAAATTTCTGTCCCGCCATTATTTTGTCGAGTTAATTTTGTGTTCACCTAATTTTGACTGTAAAAATAAAGGAAAGAATATTCATTATTCTCAAAGCACTGCTATTAATTCTGAATTTTATCTAAATAACCACTATAAATCTTATTTTCAATCGTCCTGAGATTTCAATGTACACAAGTACATGTAGTTGCGAAGGTGGTGTGATTTGATTAACTTAACATTTGATAGGGTATGGAAAGTCGAAACAGGAAGACGTTGAATTTCAAAATAAGACTGACAACGATACGGCATTACTGGGCGCTATTGAAAGTGAATATGGTAATCTATCGATCAGATTAAACTGAAAGTGAAAGTGGATTTGTTTCCATATCCAGTTTATCATTGTAACCACCTTTAAATATGCGATGGACTGGTTCTTAATGTGCCCAGTATCTATCTTCATGGGACCAACTTCAAATCTAGTGTATTTAATCTCTCTACTTGATGGAGTAATTAAAAATACCCAGCGAGAACTCTGATAGACGAGGTCACTGTGACCGGCATTGATAGACCTACTGCGCAGTGCGCCTGCGCATCTCAAAAGAAATTAGGGGCCGTCTCAATGTAAGCTCCGTGTGAACTCTTTCTAGTAATACGGAGAGTCCGGGAACTAATCTTGATAAACCCAGTGGTTGAGCAATCAAGGCAGGGTTTTAGGAGTTAATTTAAGATAAAAAAAAGATCGCTTATGCTATTAGAATGCAGTATGACCTTATGTCTTGTTCGAACTGAGTTTTGTTTTGTTGCATTTTTGATTCACCCCCTAGCCACGTGCTTCGCCAGATAAACAAATAAAGGGATCGTAGCATTGATGTATAGATGGTTTTGATTGGTAGACATCGCTTCATTCTTAGTATTTCGGCCAATTAGAGCAGCGGTTCTATAACGATTTGGTTTCGTGTGTAAAAAGGAATATTTTAATTCGTATTGGTTCGCTAATATTTTGATAGATCTAGACATTGTTTTGCGATGATTTTTTGTGAGAAGATCAAGCAAATGTCGGGGATAAAACCTCTGAAGTTAGATTACATCCATCGCCAAAATTGTCGAGGTAGATCGCAACATCTATCGCCAAATTTTTTTCACTCCCTGTTTTTGGCGTTTGGCGACCTCTTATTTGCCACACTGGTATAGTGAATGATACATGACATGCAATGGAATTAGTTTTACTTTGTTAATATTGTACTAAACTAAATCTCATTTTAGAGTGGTTGTGGAGAAATATGGAAAATGAAATTTTTGGCCAGAGAAGTAAGAAACAGGCTGCAAAAAATTGGCCTGAGAAAAAATGGTATGGCTGGTTAAAATCTGGCTGGCCTGCCAAAATGTCTAGGTTAAAAAAATCCTTATTTCACGCACTGATTAACATTTTAATATTAGTATGAAAAATAAAGCTTTTAATACAGTTTTGTGGTAAGTTTATTAAAAAAATTATTACCATTACAGTGATTACACTTATATAGGTAAACTGACCCTGACTCCTTATAAGTCAACTATCCATCCATAATTGGCGGGAAATTTCCCATCCATTTTTTTAACCCATGGGTCACTGTCAAATTTTAATCGTAATTCTTGTAAAAGTAGCGTAAGCTTTATTTACTGTAACTATCTATGTTTATCTTAACTCTTTCCCCTACATAGAGTTACAGCATTAAATATTATGGCTAAAATAAAGTGGCTGAATCTACTTGTTCCCATTTTATGAGATGATTCTTACAAAAAATTTGAATGCCTGTATGTACCACAAAGTAACTAATACTGTAGATTGGGTTAATTTGGCGCCCGCTTTAATTTGGCGAATTTGGCGAAATTGAAAAATTCGCCAATATAAATCTTCGCCAAAATTTAGAATGAATCCCCGGGAATTATCTAGGGTATTTCGTCCAGTGTATTCAGGTCACTTCCGGTTAAGGTTTTTCCAAAAATATGAAAAAACGTCTCTCATAAATTGGCTTAGAACTGGTCAGTCACTCATTAATACTCAGGGAAAAGGTGATGTATAGTAGCAGCATCGATCGAGGTGCAAAATGTAAAGGATGATCTCACAAAAATGTACAAACGTGGTGAATATCGCCAGTGGTCCTCAACTTTTGAGGACTTTTAAAAAATGAACATAGCCAAACATGCCCATTTACATAGTAATTCACTAACAGCGCGCAAGTATAACATTGTATTAATTTTTTTTTTGCATATCCGCCAAATTAAATAGCCGCCAATATGCCAAAAATGGCAAAATCGCCAAATTAAGTAGCGCCAAATTAACCCAATCTACAGTATACAATATACTGTATAAGTTGATTTTTGCACATTTACAAAATAGAAAATGAAAGTAAAAACAGATAACGAATACACCAATATTGACCAAGCACTTCAGTTTTTGATTAGGCATAATTAAAAGTAGGTGACCTAGCCTTATAAACTTATCAAATCAATTTAGAATAATCAAAGTCATATTTACAATTTTATTTAAATTATTTTCTGTTTAACAACAAGGTTAAAAGTTGACAAATCTCATCACATTAAAATTCCTTCATATAAAGAACATTCCCAAAGTGCCGTGTTTGTTTTCTTTAGAAATATGACATTTGATCTATGTTGAAAACTTCCAAGTGAACAAACCCAATTAATGAGTTAAAGGGTCATTAGCTGACAAAGCCAACTCCTGAATAAAAAATTTTGTACTCGTGTACGTATTCAGTGTTGAAAATCAAGATCGGAGGTTAACATTTCTGAACTTGAATACTAGTGCTTCTTTTTTAAATCGCAACATCCCTACGAGTTCCTATGTAGCAATTTGTTTACAAGTCTCTGCTTTTACCTCCCTTTACAAGTCGCTGTTTTGTTTACCTTTACAAGTCCATATGCCTTTCATTCACTTAATCCCACCCCCAAAGGAGGTTGGTTGGGCAGGGGGGTAAAGAGTTCGAGCTAAAATTTGGAACAATTGAACATAACCTCTCTGTTTTTCAATCAATAATGTAATATTTGTTTGTATACTGTTTACATTTGCAATGTCTCCTTTGAAACAAAACTTAAAATTGAACCACTCGCAGTGTACTTGTTCGTGTCTAGGGATAAGCAATTGAAGTCAAACATGCAAAAATGACCAAAAATTGACTTACATTTATATATTTATTTGGGATTTAGGAACATTGTATACTATGTACATATTTCAATAAATTTCATTCAGGTCTGATGAATTCTTTCTTTGAGATTTATAAACAATTTAGGGCGCTTGAATCTAGTGACTGAAGAATCAAAATACAAATTCATGTTTATTGTTAGCGTAACTTCAGTATTTGTAAACATAAGAACATGAAACTTAAAGAAACAGTTCGTTGACCCTCTATTGTACAGTATGAAAATGTTAGAATTTCTATTTTGATTTTTGGCCTTTCATAAAAAACTAAGTAAGTGTCTTAAGTGTTTGTAAAGTTTTTATTACATTTTTGTAAAAGAGTGTGCTTTACAGTGCAAGTTTTATTGCATATTTGTGTACTGCCCATCCCTGAGTCCCGGCCTTAATTTTTATTA